AGGAAAAAGGTTTGGGCACTTCTTGGAAAGGTTAAGGAGACACCAAAGGCAAGCGTAGTGAGCGAGGGTCTTGTCAAGTCTAATTCCATTAAGCCTCAGCTTATCTTATCTAACCAAGACTCAGGGTTGTCTGAGGTATAAAGAATGTGGGACTATACGTTAGCCTCCAGCCACCCAGGATAAGTTAGAAAAGGACCCTTGATATTAGGGATATTTGGCTGACATTTGCAATTGACTGGCTTATAGAAGTGAATTTGTGGTATAGATAGGAGGGAAGAGTTTTGTACTTCAAGGCATGTTGGCCTTAGTAGATGTCATTCAGGATTTCTAACGGTGTCTGCTTTTGTTGCTGTTATTAAGAGATTTGAAACAATCTGTAAGGAAACCTGTGGTCCCTTAAAGGCACCACAGGAGCCTTGTTTAAGGCCATTGAAGACACTGATGTAATTAACAAAAAGTAAACACAAACTTTCATTTTTGTTTCTATAAATATACAAGCATTTAGTTTATTTTTTAATTTTTTTTTTATTTTGCTTTGTTAGATTTTAGACCTGCAATTTGAGCCAAAGATAAACCTTAAATGTGATTTTTATTTTTTTCTATTTTTTTATTTTTTTACCGCAATATAGCGCTACATACTACGTTATAGATGTTCATTTAGTTTTTGTTGACTTTAAAATTTCTGTAACTTGTTTGGTTACAAAGCAAGTCATACAAATAGGAATAATTTTATACTTTGAGCAAATACAACAGAGAAATGAAAAGTCCCTTTATTTCATCTTTCATGCAGAAACAAGTTTTTGCACTGCTTTGCTAAGCAGTTACAAAACTTGTCTAAACAAATATGTTGGAAAACGTATAAGAACCCATCTCTTTTATGTATATCTGGTCAGACTTTTAAGTATTGGTATGCCATTTTTAAAAGCTTTTTTTGAATGTGGTAGTGGTCTCCCAGTGTTATTTTCCCTCAGCAAGTTAGCAACCAATTGCTGGTAACATAACAGAATGTAAATAACTTCATTATGGAGCTCTGTACTGGAAGACAATAGTGACACTGGGTCCACCGTTAGTGTGATGGTATAGCCATGACTGAGCTGGAAGTGTAAGGAGTTTAGTTTTAAAACTAAAGAAGAAGCTTTTTGATAATTCTGTTTGCAAAAACGTATGTATTAGATACATTAAGGAGAGCTTCCTTAATGATTCAATGTGATACAACTTAATATGTGAAGGTCCAGTTTAATGACTCCATCTAGTTATAATATATGAATAGTAAATATGGCTGTTTACCAATGGTTTTGTCAGAATTACCTTTTTTTTATTGAATCGTGACATGCTTTCATATATTCTTTCTGTTTGGATTCTCCAGAATCAGTGCTATCAAGACGGTTATGTAAACCGTCATCTTCAATTACTTCCCTGTCATTTCTTCCCTACACACTTTTGATGTACTCAACAGCCATCATGCATCAGGCTCTCTGCCCCCGTTCCCTTTGCATCCCTGCTCAGGCTCAATCTCTTTGACACAGAGTACTAAAGTGGGTTTTAAAATACCCCTACTTTCCCTTCCTTCTGTGCAAATTTGTTCCACCTTGAAATGGATTTCATTATTTCATTTGAGCCTCTCTCTGACAGGGAAGTGAATCATTTTGACAGGCTCCATCTGAAGCCTCCTCACTCCAGCCGCTTGCTTCAGAGTATTTTTGGAGAGGGGAATGAGTGCGTTATTGTCGGCACTTTGTAGTTCGGATGTAAACTGGGAGTTTGCACAGTGCTCCCACTGGCTGATGTCCAAGGCTCTAAGGAAAAGAAATATGAAGAGGGTAATGACATTAGTGCTTCAATCAAGTATACTCGACTGAGTGGCTTTAAAAGAGGGAAATTATAGAAGCAGGATTAATATAAATATGATGAAATATAAAAACTTTAATTTTTTCTCTATACGTGTGTTTGAAATTCCTGCATGATTAAGGTAGGCTGTAGCCTAGGAAACATGTTCAATCTGTGAGGCATAAACAGACCTCCCAGTGCCGGCTTACTTGATGTGATGCCCTTGTGATGTCCTTAGGTTTTCCATATAGCTTGCTTTCATGGAGATCAGCGCAGGCATCCTGGAGCCCGCATGAGGCTGAGAGTTTAATCAAAGTGTTCTCTCACATTTTGCCAGTGTTTATGGAAGTCGCCGCATTGCATTTGCCTGGTGTCTGGTCCTCAATTCAAAGTCATCCTCACTCTCTTCTTTTCCCCCCTGTTTCATTTCCACGGCCTGATTGAACTCATCTAACAAGGAAAGTGTTTTCTTATTCAGTGTTCCGCCAACTATTTCTTCAATAAGACTCTACTCTGAACTTTGATTTTCTCTTTAAACGGAAGCTTTTTTTTTGCAAATGGATGCTGAGAAAAACTCATCAGATGGGATAGCATTGCCACCATCATAAAAAGATATGACATGGAGGAATACGCTTTATGGTCAGCTTGGGGTGTGTGTGTGTGTGTGTGTGTGTGTGTGTGTGTGTGTGTGTGTGTGTGTGTGTGCGCGCGTGCGTTAGTTGTATTGTGCACTACTTGCTTTACAGTTGTGTTTGGGTGTGGGCTGCTAACTATGCATTTGGGGAATTTTCACTTTTGTGCCTTGATGTTCTTCTGTTGTTTGGATCTGTGTGTGTCCTAGAACGTTGGGCTTGATTACTGCACGTGTGAGGATGTGTCTGTGCGCAGCCTCCCCGTTCTCATGCTCATTTCTTTGTGTGTGTTGGTGTGGTTTGGTGCTGCCACTGTCATTAGTGGGCTCCTGAGGCACAGCAGTAGTCCCGTTCCAGATTAGTTTTCATCTTGCTGCCAGCTCTCTGTCTGGCAAATAGCCTGGCGTGGCACAGCCCAGCTCAGCTCCACACAGCTTGGCTCAGCCCAGATGGCAAAAGCTACAAGCCACAACAACAACTTTGATTCTGCTGAACTCTTCTATCCATTTTTTTTAAGGAGTTACAGCTTTCTCTAGCTTCTGGGGTACAGTATAGAAGTTTAATTTCAGATTGTAGGTAAAAGGGCCAAAAGTGTCACGATACTAAGAAGTGAAAACACCCCAGTTTAAAGAAAACAAAAACATTTTTAATGCATTTTTTTTAAGCTTTCTATTATGGTATACATTTATTAAATCATAACGATCGTGACCTAAGAGGTCTTTCATTTAAATCACACATGTCTGTGTTTACCCATATAAATGATATCAAAGGAGTAGCAGTCCCTCCCTGGAAAACCAGTGACCAGGAAGCACCTCCCTTGATCATGCTTAACCTGACCTGTAAACAAAACGGTAAACAACATGGCTGCCAGAGGTCTCTGACTTTGGTTAGCCTTTCTAAAGACCAGTCCAGTGCCAGAAGTAATGACATACCATGCCGCAACACATTATCAAGCAGCACCCAAACGGGAGAAGTGTTGTCATGAAGCAAAGAAGGCAAATATCTTTCAGGTATCAGTGCTGGAAAAATAACACCAGAAAACAGCTAATATTTCATAGCGAATTAAAACTCTTTAGTGCCAAACACGTTTTTTTTCTCCATTATATCTATATATGTATAGTTGACCTTGGAAAGCTTATAAAAAGCCCATATAGAAGCCTTAATTTATGTGCCTCAAGGGTTACTTAAAGAGAATTAGTGGACAAACGGCATCATAAAAACCAGTGAGCACAGTAGACCTTTGTGGGTTTAGAATAAGGTTATGGACTAATAACCAAAGCTTAAAAATCTGAAAGAGGAGTGATAAATCAATCCTCTGGAAATAGAAAGCTTGTGACACAGCGACAGAACCACATAAACATGGCTACTGACCAAAACCTAAAGGTAAAGCAAAGTGAAGATTATCAGAGAAGGAGCCTTGAGCAGCTGAGTCCAAAGTCGATCTTCAAGAGTCGCTTTCCTGCAGGTTTTCTATGTTTGTGGTGTCAGCAAAGCTACTTTTAGTTGATGGCTGATTAACACCTTATGCTTTGCTAATATCATCTAAATCCTCTGTTAAAACAGAGAAACATTGAAAACCTGTAAGACGGCGACCGTCAAGGACCGACTTTGGACAGTCCTAGTTTAGAGGGTTCTAAAAACTCTGGAGAAGCTACGTAAACACACAGCTCGTATGGGGGGTTCTGTTGACTGTGTAGCCCACGAATGTTGCTTGTATGGAAGAGTGTTAAAAGAAAGCCTTAAAAAGTCTGTTTTTCAGTTTCCTACAAGCCACATAAGGAACACACACACAAAAAACAAAACATGGAAAAACATTGTCCCATGAGATTAAATAAAAAACCAAACTTTGTGGAGGAAGACCAAACACTGAACATCACGCTGAATACATCATATCCAAGTTCAATCAACATAGTGTCAGCATCATGCTGTGGATTTACTTCTCTTCAGCAGGGACAATAACCCTGATAAGAGTTGATTGGAAGATGGATGGAGGCACAGAGTATTTCAGGAGGAAAATCTGTTAGAGGCTGAAGTGCAGTGCTCTGACTGCGCTCACTTTAAGTAACCGTCATCACACAGGCAATGCAAGAATGTCATGATTCAGGTCAGATTTTATTTGCAGTGACTCAAAGTATTTGCCTAAATCCAATTAGGCATTTTGTGAAACATAGTATTTCTTGTTCAGATTCTTTCACCCAATCTGATGGACGTCTATGATAACTTTTTGTAAGTCACTGTATAGATTTTATACCCATCCATCCATTATCTGACACGCTTGTCCCGAGTGGGGTCGCAAGGGGTGCTGGTGCCTATCTGCAGCAGTCAATTGGCGACAGGCAGATTTTATACCTTTCAGAAATATTTGAAAACAATGTGTATAAAGTTCCAATAACCAGGTTGCATGAATGTATAACTTGGTGCAACTTTAGTACTTTGTAGATCTGGGGTGAATTAACAGCATGAATTTTATGAAGTTGGTTTATTATAAGGGGGGTTCAAGTAAAGTCGCTGTTGTTGGTTACTTAACCTTCGGTGCTTCAGGCCTGCAGCAGCAGTACAAAGAGTGCCAGGAGTTGCTCGCCCTCTACCAACAGTACCTTTCTCAGCAGCAGGCCAAACTAAACCAGTCCATTGCACAGCTCAGTCAGGCGACTCACAATAAGGTAAGGCACAGTATGGAAGGTATGCATTTTTCTTTTGTATGATCCATCAACTTATTATCAGACAGAGACAGTAGGATCCTTCTTCTGTATCTTAAGAGAGGTGGAGATCCTTCAGCTGGCTCCCTAAGACCATATTTACAGATCTGATTTGTTGCACACAGCCTCTCAAGGGGAGTGAGTCCCTAATCAAGAAGATGACATTGGAGCTCCTTGCTCTGAGGCTTTCTCCTGATTGAAACTCTTTGTTAAGTAAGTTAAAACTGACTGGATCTGTACGTGGTTCCAGCAGCACACAGAGGGACTGGTCCCACATCTTTTGGAGTCCACTGGAATATTGGGAGATATTGATGTGTATGAAACATGGTTTTTTGTAGCAAACACCAACCTAGCTCTCTGTGGAAAGCTGATATAAATGGTGAACCTCTGAAAAATATGCAGAAAGCGTCCGTCTTGTTCTCTACTAACTAAATTATATGACTTGTTTATGTTTAAATTGCTGTTGCTTGAATTCTCTAAAATGCTTTTTTTGTTTTTGTTTTTCTGCCCTTGATAACAATTTGCTAACCTCTCAAAAGGAAGGGAGATTATTAGCAGTACAGGGAATTCAGCTAAAAAGACATGTTGCATTGTGGCTTCTTTTTTTAGTGATCTACAGTTGTAATTATCTTCTTATTTTACAGTTATGAGCTATACACTCCTATCTCTAAACAATTTATTAGTTAATTGATTCCTAAATGCTTTGATTTTAATAGAAAAACCTTATAGGCTAGCTGAGTGCACGTCAGGTCATATTCTAATACCTACTGATGATTTCTCTTTAGTCTCTGCAAATTTTTCAAGCCACTCTTTGTTAGGCTGTGACATTTTAAATTGAAGTCAAACAAAAAGGCCTCAGTAAAGTAGATGGGTAAATTCAGAGCATTTGACCTGACCAAATCCAGTTATTGTCTCTCTCAAGGTGACTCTGTACAGGCAAAGATGCAACTCAAGGGAAGGCTTCTGTGAGTAATAGTGACTTTGTCAACCTCGTTGTCCCACGGCGGCTCTGAATAATAAGTATTTTCTTGCTCTCTGACCCTCAGCAAATTACTCAGTCTCTTTGCCATTAGAATAGTAGATGGGCTTTTCTCCCTGTGTTTAGCTGGTAATGTTCTTGATCTTTAAACACAAAGTTTTCTTCTTAGTCTCTCAGCAACACTTAATTGTTACTGTTTTGTCACTATACAGGTGCTGGTCATAAAATTAGAATATCATGAAAAAGTAGATTGATTTCAGTAATTCCATTTAAAAAGTGAAACTTGTATATTATATTCATACATTACATACAAACTCATATATTTCAGATGTTTATTTTGTTTAATTTTGATGATTACAAATGACAACAAATGAAAATCTCAAATTCATCATATCAGAAAATTAGAATATTGTGAAAAGGTTCAAAATTGATGGCCCCTGGTGCCACACTCTAATCAGCTAATTAACTCAAACCACCTGCAAAAGCCTTTAAATGGTCTTTCAGTCTAGTTCTATAGGCTACACAATCATGGGGAAGACTGCTGACTTGACAGTTGTCCAAAAGACGACCATCGACACCTTGCACAAGGAGGGCAAGACACAAAAGGTCATCGCTAAAGAGGCTGGCTGTTCACAGAGCTCAGTGTCCAAGCACATTAATAGAGAGGCGAAGGGAAGGAAAAGATGTGGTCGAAAAAAGTGTACAAGCAAGAGAGATAACCGCACCCTGGAGAGGATTGTGAAACAAAACCCATTCAAAAATGTGGGGGAGATTCACAAAGAGTGGACTGCAGCTGGAGTGAGTGCTTCAAGAACCACCACACACAGACGTATGAAAGACATGGGTTTCTGCTGTCGCATTCCTTGTGTCAAGCCACTCTTGAACCACAGACAGCGTCAGAAGCGTCTTGCCTGGGCTAAAGAGAAACAGGACTGGACTGCTGGTGAGTGGTCCAAAGTCATGTTCTCTGATGAAAGTAAATTTTGCATTTCCTTTGGAAATCAAGGTCCCAGAGTCTGGAGGAAAAGAAGAGAGGCACTTCATCCACGTTGCTTGAAGTCCAGTGTAAAGTTTCCACAGTCAGTGATGGTTTGGGGTGCCATGTCATCTGCTGGTGTTGGTCCATTGTGTTTTCTGAGGTCCAGGGTCAACGCAGCCACATACCAGGAAGTTTTAGAGCACTTCATGCTTCCTGCAGCTGACCAACTTTTTGGAGATGCAGATTTCATTTTCCAACAGGACTTGGCACCTGCACACAGTGCCAAAGCTACCAGTACCTGGTTGAAGGACCATGGTATCCCTGTTCTTAATTGGCCAGCAAACTCTCCTGACCTTAACCCCATAGAAAATCTATGGGGTATTGTGAAGAAGAAGATGCAATACACCAGACCCAACAATTCAGAAGAGCTAAAAGCCACTATTAGAGCAACCTGGGCTATCATAACACCTGAGCAGTGCCACAGACTGATCGACTCCATGCCACGCCGCATTGCTGCAGTAATACAGGCCAAAGGAGGCCCAACTAAATACTGAGTGCTGTACATGCTCATACTTTTCATGTTCATACTTTTCAGTTGGCCAACATTTCTATAAATCCTTTGTTTTTATTGGTCTTCAGTAATATTCTAATTTTCTGATATGATGAATTTGAGATTTTCATTTGTTGTCATTTGTAATCATCAAAATTAAACAAAATAAACATCTGAAATATATGAGTTTGTATGTAATGTATGAATATAATATACAAGTTTCACTTTTTAAATGGAATTACTGAAATCAATCTACTTTTTCATGATATTCTAATTTTATGACCAGCACCTGTAAAGTCCAGACAGATTATAGCAGCATGTGCATAATCTTGTCTTCGGTTTACATAACCTGCGCTTTGGCAGCAGTTGGGACCTCCATAGCTTTTACTAAAAAATGGAGGGAGTTTATGGCCAAGTACAGAGTTAGTGCATTAGTTAGGTAGAATTAGATTAAGGTTTTATAGAGCAGTCAGATTTGACTGATAATGTGTATCAGACTTTTAGGGGCTCTAAATTTGGTAAAAAGACTTTTTCTTTTGGTGTGTTCACAGGTGCTCGCTTCAGAGGAAACTCAGAGCAGGTCCTCTGCGAGCAGAGCTAATGGCTCTCTTTTCGATGGCTCGTACCTCGGCCTCACTGCTGCCGGTGCGCAACAGTCCAAGGTGTTCAGGGGTGGTAGTGGAAGAAGAGGTGCTGCAGAAACGTTTAGGAACCCTGAGTCTCTGTCCTGTGACAGCGTGCTGAGTCCACACGTCAGAGCAACCAAACAGCTCATGAGTCAGAAAAAAGACTGCAGGAAACCACGCATATGCTACACATGTGAGCGCTGCCAAGGCAGTTGTCATGACTCTAGCTACGATGCACAGCACTGGAGAAGTGAAAGCTGCTCCTGTCTGGTGAACTGTCATCACCACTCCTTAAATCGCAGGGAGCATCAAAGGTAATGTTCATGCACATATTCTTGCTGCAGTAGTTTTAGTCTTTTAACCCTTTCACATTTAGTTATGCACTACCACAAACTTCAGTGTCTTATTAGGAGTTATTTAAAAAGCCAACACAAAGTAGTGCTTAATTGTGAAGTGGAAGGAAAAGATGCATGGTTAAGCTATAAACGGTGGCATTTATTTGTATTTTGACATTTTTACTTATCCTTGAATAAACTTTAAGAAAAGTGATATTTTTGATCTTATGAAGTTAGTTAGTCAGAAGCTAGAATTGATCACCTTAGATAACATAGATGTTTATATTCAGCTGGGATGGGGGCAACTGACCCTAGCTGGTAGAACAGTGGATTAAGTAAAACACAGGGCTATCTGAAAGAAGCCTGTTGATCCTCTGAGTTGGACAGTGAATGCTTCTATGGCTCCATTTATAAGCCTAAAATTCCATATGAAAAAAAAATTATCTTCAATTTTTTTTATTTGTCCAAACAAATCCGATTAATCAAGTTTTTTATTACTTCCAAAAGCTGCTCTTATTTCAGTCGTCCCCCCTGGGACCTGAGCTTGTTTAACATGCAACAAACCTCAATATTTACCGCCACTAGTATCGCACATTGAGTTATGAGAACAAAAGTTATAAACTGATGTCAGTCCGAGTTATGGAAGCCCAAGGAGTGCTTTAAAGGAAAAAAAAAACCCTGATTTAAAAAAAATAGAATCTTTATAAACAGAAAATTCGATTCATCGAAAAAATCAATGAATTGCCCAGCTCAACTTATAACTCTTAATCTGTTGAGGTTCAGCTGTTTTTCAAAGATGAATAAGGAAAAAAATTATCTCTTTAAAACTGCAAGGCAGGTAAAAAAAAAAAAATCACAGAATTTCAGTTTCCTTTCACTTGTCAGTTTTTTGCTACTTTCTCATGAAACGGGACTGAAAATATTAATGTTTTGGTTGCTATGTGATAAATACTGAAAGGTTGAGGGTGTAAATAATTTTGCAAGGCACACTATCCTCTTACAAGACTACATCTGTTTTTTTTATTTTCTAGTTAAGATCTACTCCTACAGTGGAGACATGCAGATCATGTGTTGCACATATTTCCATATAGGTTTCAGAGCGGGAATATGATTAATGCAGAGGCAAAGGAAGCCCTGACCAGGCCACTGCTGGGTCACGAGGACTGGGAGGAGAAGCGGCACCAGCTGCTGTTGCAGAAGATGCAGTTAGAGATGGAGAGAGAGAAGCTGCAGGCACGGCTGGCTGAGCAGGAGGAGCGGCTTGGCAGACAGACAGAGCAGCTTCGACAGTCACGACTTCATCACAGCAGGTAGAACATACAAGCCAAGGAAACATGGCCTGAATGTGGCGACACTGCTGGGAAATATTTACAGGCTGAAGTTGATAAGCGTTTACTTGGTTTTTTTCTTTATGAATTAAAGTGTCTAAAAAGTTTCTGTCCTGTGTCACCCATTGCAGACCTGTTATTTTTTTCTTTTTTTTTCTGATTTTCCACTCCTTCTTTTTCATTTTGGTTTAACAATCCAGTCAGGCTCAGAATGAAGGGTCAGAACCCAAGGGTCCTTCTCACCAAGATTTGCCCTCCAGGTAAGTCAGTCATTTTAGTCAGACTCTCAGCTTAACCATCAAATAAGCAGTTCACACCCATAGAATATTGTTAAAAAAATGAGCCTTTGGCCTGCAGGTCGTCTGAGGATGGGGAGGTTCATTCTGCAGCTGAGCAGTTGCATGGAAAAACCTCCGAGGCTATACCTGCTTCTTCTCCCAATGCAAAGAGTAAGTCTATCAGCGTATATAAAAGGATCAATTTATTATAAACTTTAATCCAGGGTGCATTTCATTTTTTTTTTTTTTTTTTTTTTTTTACAATTCTATTGCTTATAAAACTAATCGTACTGATTCAAAGTATCATACTCTTGGCTCTATGACTTGCTGTTTACATTTCTAAATATGTTTTTTTTTTCTGTTAAACCATTAGAACAGTCTAAGAGTGACATGGCCACATCTCCACTAAAGAACCCTTCAGCTCAAAGTTTCCCTACCTCAGTTTCTGCAACCCAAAACACCTCTGAAAGCAGGTGAGTAAATATAACTTAATATTTTGACTCAATTATTTTGATAGTTCACTTATTTTACTGTTGCATTGTTGCTAGGGTACCATTATTTCTTAAGCCACAATGTGTTGAAAAGTAGCTGTAAGATTTAGCATAGATCTTCTTCTATTAGTTGCTCTATTTGTTGCAATTTTGATATCGACTATTAAGTTAAGAGGTTTTTACTAATAATTTAGATAAAAGACATTCTGATTATAAAGTTGTCATCCTACCGAGCTTTAGCATCCTTTTTTAGCAAATAGCTCAGCTAGCCTGGCTTTACAAAAGCAACAGCAATGTTCCACGGAGAATGTAGAGCCTTGCTCTCAGCCCTCATTTTAAAAAATTTACAAAAAGTGCAAAAAATAAAAATCAGATGTGTCATGCTTCATTTAGGTCTCCTGTTTCCAGTAGAAAAATTTAGTCGCTCTCAGTCTGAAGAACATGCATGTCTCCACATTTCCAATTAACTTTTCTGTTTTACATCTTTCAACTAAAGTTTATATCTGTAACACATTAAAATATAACTTAGTTGTCCAAGGAGCTTTAATCACCCAAAAACACTATTAAAACTGATTTTTCCCCCCAAATATAACTCCATGAGAGAAAAATCACATTAAAACAATTTAAATAAAATGTCAGATAAAGAAAATGGTGAACTGTCAGACTGCTTAAGCCAGCGTTAAAACGGCGTTAAAAGCTAAAGGGAAGAAAATGTGTTATGAGAGAAGATTTGAAAACCGAGAGGGAATCAGCCTGGCGGATGAGCAAAGGTAGGTCCATAGTTTGAAATAGTCTGATGACAGAGAAAGTATGAACATTTCTCTACACTTTCTTTTCTTTTTGTCTTGAGCATGACTAATAAAAGGTTATTCTGTAGAACTGAGCGGAGTGTGTAGATAAAGCAGGTCTGACAAACACTGGGGGGCAAGGCCATGAAGATATTTAAAAGCAAATAAAAGAATATTATAATCATCCCCAAAACAAACAGGTGGCCATTAAGTTGCTGCTAAAACAAGAGACGTATTCTCTTGTTTTTTGGTATGACTTAACAAGCGTAGCAGCATTTGGGATCTGCTGAGGTACACTTTTTATTGTTCAGGTGTATGAAATGTTGTGGAATTTATGAGTTAATTTCTGCTGTGCATTCAAATCGTTGTTTTGCGTAGGAACTTTATCCCCCTTTTTTAGTCGTATATGAATCTTACTGCTATCTTTACTCTGCTTCCAGAAAATTCACTCCATGGGGTTAGGTAAAGAGAAAAGGGATGAGGAATAACATTACAGCCTTAAGCCACTCTCAGTGAGAAAGTTGCTGCATCAAACTCAGAAGCTTCATCATAAACAAAACGTTTTTAGATGAGACCTTAGCTGATCTAGAGCAACCGCATGAATACTGACCCAGTTCTGTAAAGGAGTAAGCAGGAGATAATGAGGTGCCAAGATGAAGAACACGAGAAACAACTGGAATTTGTGGAGACCCAGCAGGTTTCATATTTGTTTGTAATTTTGGATCATGAATCAAAACATAGAAACAAAAATCAGGACCTAACATTTTCGGTTGCCATGCAAGATTTCTGGTGTTCTTTTGTTGCAGTCTAGAGAAAAGCTTGGCTTTATTAGCTATGATGAATTGGAATAACATGGTTTTAACACATTATTGAGTGAGAAATTCCACCTCAAAACATCAGGATGAAATTTGCTGCTCCTCAATGGAAATGGCTTCCTTCAGGCAAAACAATACAGCTTTTGTCCACTGGGGGAACCAAAATTGACCAGACCAAGTTCTAAAGTACTGCTTTAAATCGGCCATTGCTGTTGGGAATTTCCCACTGTCTTTCATAGCAGCTAGAAGTGAATATAAAACATTTCTACCAGTATATAAAACCAGATATAATACGAGAAGGTTTAAAAATATTTAGTTCATTTAGGTATTTATAAACTGTTTCCCCACAGTTCAGTAGCACGTTTTAGTGGCGTTATGATGCAGCACACCATTTTTCTGTGTATGTAAAAGATCCATCCTCCTGGCTTTTTAAAACCTGTGGAGTTTAACCCCTTTATATTCTTTTTTTTATGTTTTATATGCTGACAGCTCTGCAAACGTGATCACAGCTTTCATGTAGGCACCAATTTCAAACCGTGCCCTACGCTCTACCCCTTAACTTCCCAGTGTCCCTCCCAATGAAGTCACACTTGTAGCTGTGGCAGATCCTTTGATTGATTGTGGATGGAATAAATGAGAATTGGACCCCTCTTCCCTCCACCAATTAAGGAAAACAGTTGTTGCTGTGGTAAGACAGAGAGACCCCATGTGCATGGCTATTTTTAAAAACATTTTATTTACACATCTATTCAGTTGGGTTTCCAGATTGAGAACTATTTATGTTCAGGGGAGGATTGTAAATGGTTTTGACCGTCAATTGGCAAAGAAACCTGTCTAGTTTAATAAATGGGACATGGATTGAATTTCATTGATTTTGGCTCATTTTGTTTCGGTTATCTGATTTGTGCACATAAGTACAACTTATATTTCAAGCTGCATTTTGAATTTCTTGACGTTTCATTTTAAAGTGCTAAGAATATCCAAATACAATACAATATATTGCAGTGTCCCAATATCGCATATTGCATTGTGAACCAACGTATGATAATACGCATTGTATTCTGAAGTCTTTGCTAATACCCTTCCCAGTAATCATCTGCAGTTGACATAGCAATTTTTAAATGTTGCACAAAATGTGCTAATCTGTTGCACAAAATGTTTAATATAATTAATAAATGATTGTCCTTTATTCCACAAAAGAATGGCCTCTATTTTTGGCCTAATTTTCCCGGTTAGTTTAAATAAACTCTATTTAAACAACCCCAGCCTTCTTCCACACAGTTTAGGCTCAGGTTTTTATTTTTATTTTAGCTTTAATCCCTGAACCTGTGTCTGAAGCAGTGTAAAAACGTCAGCACCTCTCTGACATCCTTCACTTTTAACTTCACAAGGTAAATAAATAGTGGTCTTACCTGTGACGCAGTGCAGAAATTTTCATTGTAGACCGTGATGTGTCAGACATTAATATCCATCTTTTCATGTAGGCTCCAAACTGAGCTATTTTGAATCTCTGCTTTGTTTTCAGGGTCATTCATTTTAAGGCTGTTTATATGTGTCTGAAAGGCTAACCCCTTAAAAATGTCAGATTTTCCCTCAGATATCCTACTATGTGTGGACAAGTCCTAAAACTAGTGAAATTTGTGCCTTTTTTTTACTCAGGAATCAATCCTTATTAGGGTCAGACTGTGGAGTTTACAATCAGTCAATTGGTTAATACATGTCTGCCTGACATGCCTGAGCATACTAGGCACGTACCAGTAAAAGCAAAAAAAAGAGACACCTTTCGGCAACAGTGTTTCTGTGTTCCCAACTCAAAACACAGCCTTATGTTAGTCAAACAGGCTCTATCTACGGTCGGATTAATTGCAAGCCTTTGATCTTTGTGGCTTAGTTAGCACTAAGTTTGGTCAAGTAGAGGAACTCGGAGTAAGATTCATTGTAATCTGTACTTGAGTCTTTGTGTCCAAGGTTGTGCATTTCTTTCTGACACTTGAATACACATGAATACATGCAAGTAAGGGGAAATGTATCCACCATTAGCTCTGTAATGACACAGAATAGGAGAGAAGTGGGAATGCCTCGGCCAATTAGTGCATAGATGTTCCGTATACCCAACAACAAAAGTCTGAATCCAACAAAAATAAGAAAAAGGAACAGATGGTTAATTCAACGATCTCTATTACCTGCTAGCAGTTTGACAAATTGGCACTGTATTCTTTGATCATCCTCTAATTTTAAAGGAATCATCCCCTGGAAATCTAACTTTTTCATGTGTTTTATTGTTGGACTTGATTTTTACAGTAGCTTGTTTTTGTGTGTGGGCTCTTTGTTTACATCAGCTAGCTCTCCACAAAGTGCAATTTTGGTCCCGCTCCTGGATTGACATAATCCACAGAATGTAGCCCACCTTGCTCTCATTACGCTTGTCTCTATTCCATCAATCAGAGACTTACCTGTAGTGCAGTCAGTAAGTGTTGCTGCTTGTTTAACTTTTTACCTATTGTGTAAGAGCACAGAAAGCAATGGTAAACAAACCACGACAAACTGCTAACGTTACCATTGCTGCATCTACATAAACGCATGCCAATGGAAAAAAAAATAAAAAATTTGTCTCATAAAATTTATTTAAAGATGTTTACACAAAGGTTGTAGAAGTGAAATAACAAGTTATGACTCCTTTATTTACAGTTTAGTATCCTTGTGTGTACATAAATGTAGAACTAGAAATCAGAATAGCAAGAGGGAATTACCAAAAAAGATGCCCTCGGTTGGTTTGTTGGGCTGGTAACCTCAGATCAGAAACTTAAAGCTCCTCATTTAGACAAAGGTGCAAAAAGGAAGGGAGGAAAACACTGGGGAGATAATTAACTATATTTTATGAGTTTGTTTGTGATTCCTCGAGGCAATATTTTCCCTTTGTTCTTAAATAAAATCTTGAGCTTAACAACACATAAGGAATACAAATATAAACTTCAGATCTTTGAGCTTTTCTCTGGCCAGTAGTTGTGCAGAACTCTTAGCTTAAATGATAATTTACCTTCATCTTGCTAAGTTCTTGAGCTGTGAGAAGCTAAATGAAGCTTTTTACAGGGCTAGCTTGGTGCTGTGGTCAGCCTGTCAGGAGACACGCTGCGTTCCATTAGTTGGCCTAGCAGGGATCCTGCAGCAGGTGTAATTGAACAGACTTGGATGCACACGGTGCCCTACCCTCCTCTCTCTTTCCGCCACAGTAATGAGACCTAGAAGGCAAGCGTTATGGAGAGATGTTAAATGTGTGTTTGAGGGTGAGAGCATTGGAAAACATGAAAAATGGCGAGCGAGGAATTGCCAGATTAGGTCCAGATGGAGACCAATGAAAATGGTGAGAAAGACATAAGAGGTGTAGAGCGTCAGGCTTTATTCCGAGTAACTAAATGGTAATTAACCCCAGTGCAAAGGGTCCTCCTGCATGCACTTCTGCACATTCTTTACACAGTGGGAGGGCTTCTTTGTTTTTGTGGACTTGTAAAGGGGAAATATGAGAGGTTGTAGAGCATTTCCAAAGAATGTAGACATATAATAAACAAACTCCCTTGTATATATTTAACACTTCGTCACATTTCTGTTGCCTTTCATAAATGTCTGCCTTTTAATACATTTTTTTGTGGGAGTTAAGGGTGACTATTAAAAAAAGGGGTTCTTTTAAACGGCCCAAAGTTTTCTACTTGCAATGATTAACTCTTAATCAAAGCAGTGCGTGGTCCAAGTTTAAGCTGTGAGTTCTGGCAATGAGCCATTAGTTCCAGCGAGGGACCAAGGGTATAAGATCCTATTAGCATCCATTTTCACCTCCAAAGCCTATTAAAATAAATAGACTGTTAGCTGCACAGTATTTTTACACCATCTATAACAAGGAACTTTGCCTTTTAAGATGACTTTTGTTAGTTGCAGTCAGTTGCTAATGCTCCTTTTTTTCGTTTGTTTTTATGGAACCTGCTTTTTATAGCCATTACCTGACATTGTTTATGCTTTGAAGAAGTACAAATAATACAGTAACAGTGAATAAATATGACAATTTTATTAATTTATTAGTTTTGATGTCCAGGTTTCATGTCAGACTTAACAGGATTCCTCTAAAGATCAAAAAACACCAACAGCCTAGAATCTATTATTCTCAGGTCAAAAGAAATTAGAATTTCTTTAAATGTTTATCCAACCAACCAACCAACCAACAAACCAACCTTTTAAACTGGAAATCTTTGATTCTGTTTTCTTTTAAACTGGAAATCTCTGATTCTGTTTTCTTTTAAACTGGAAATCTTTGATTCTGTTTTCTTTTAAACTGGAAATCTTTGATTCTGTTTTCTTTTAAACTGGAAATCTTTGATTCTGTTTTCTTTTAAACTGGAAATCTTTGATTCTGTTTTCTTTTAAACTGGAAATCTTTAAATCAAAGATCAGAGCTGATTTTCCACAAATATCCCAAAACAAAAAAAGTTGGGCAAACTTTGTCAAATGAAAAACAGTTGTGCAGAAAAGACTCCCCTGCCCAGCTAGACAACACAGCAGCTCCCTTATGGCCGTTTAATCTCAACCATTACAATCTTGATGTGCGAATTGCAAATCCAGAGCAGGTGTTAACATTAAGTGACCTCCTTAATCCCTTCATGAATCCTGTGCTAGTTAGTAATGAGACAGTTCCAGCGCACCCTGCCCATCTCATCTCCATCTATCCTACTGTTGCCCGCCTGCTATTGATTGGTTTGGAAATTGTCATGCGGGATATACGCAGCGGCCATTATGGGATTTTTTATCTTTCTGTTTGGACTGCAAATGAAAAGAGGCACCGGGGCGAGACGGCTATCTTTAATGAAAGTGACAAGCAGAGTTCGTGGTAGAAGTTGTAGGTGAAATGGTGAACAGTAAGGATGCAGTTATATGATGTACATATAGCTCTGTGTTTTCAGCTTCGCTTAAAAATGCACAAATTCATGCCCACCTATAAATTATGGTTTGTTAAATTTTTTTTGATTAATTGTTGATTTATCAAATACTGCTTTTTCCAATTTTCTACAATGATAAAAACGTAAAAATGCTGTGTTGTAAAGACTGGCTATATATAATTTGTTAGATTTAGATCTGGACTTGGACTAGTCCAATTAGATGTATGAATATGCTCTGGTCCAAATCATTTGATCGTAGCTCTGGCTGTATTTTAATTTTTAAATTTTTTTTTTTTTGCATGGTAGACTTCCCCCAGTCTCAGGTCTTTGGAGCCTTTCCAGCATATTTGTAAAGTCCTTTTCTAATTATTTACAGGTTTTCCTACCATAACAGTGGACCTTTACAGCATCAGTAATTTGACAAGCCAGACTGATCACGTGACATCTTTGCCACCCAAAGATGCAAAAAGTGCTTCTTGCTTTTCTTGACAAAACGGATGTTATTGCAGCAGTGTGCGTTTACTTTAGTTCGGCTGTGGGCTCCGCACATCTGTTTTGTGACAGCTGAATGCTGCGCCTTAAACCATAATACCACAACGTGATTGGTTGACCTGTTTTTGGGGCCAGACAAATTTGATTCTTGTTGTTGTAAATGCCTAAATACTGAGGAAAGTTCAGCTTGGAATCAAGGTCACAACATCAGACTTCTCCACAACCTTATCCTCGGCCTGTCTGGAAATTTTCTTAACAGAAGAGCTGGATGCTTTTAATAAATTAATCACATTTAGAAACTATTTACCAGTAAGTGGAATTTTGAAAAGAATTGAAGGCACCTGATTTTATTTAGTGGTTTAAAATATAGAAAAGTTATAAATATTGGCATACCTTCTTTTTCATATTTTTTATCAGTAAAAAAAAAGAACCATGTTTCCTTTTCCATTTTCTTTAGATAAAATGTTTACAATGGTTTGTCACATAAAAGCCCCAAAAATACCTTCTTGGTTTGTGACTCTAAAAAAGTAAAAAAAGATGAAGTTTAAAGGGTATGAACACTTTGACAGGTACAGTATTTTCTTCCTTTAGTTTTCCATTAAAGTGAAATACTGTGAGAGTAATTTCCATAAATGGTTCTTACTGTATTGACTGGCACAGAGGATGGAAGCACTTAAGTGTCAGCCATCCAGGGTCTCTAGATGCCCGTAGATTGACCCATGGTTTCTGTTGCAAAGTTTATTTTCAGTAATGCCAGAATCTTGTTCCTTTAACTGCTGTCCATTAGAAGTAAAGCTGAATTTCCTGAACTCTTGGGGCAGAAAATCTCTTGCAGCATTTGACTTTTTCAAAAACTCTGCTTAACAAAGAAAAGCTGCTCTAAGAACTGACTATTGCTTCATGCAATCTTTGTTTTTTACTTTTCTCCTCTGCCACCCCACCCATTCCTTTCCTCATTCTTACACAAACTGTACCCCCCCTTTGCTTGTTATGGATTGTGACCGCCGGTAAGTGATGCATTATTCATTACAGACATGTCGCTTGTTGATGGATGGCTGTTTAAGAGCCCCGTCCATTAAATAAATCAACAAATAAAAATGCAAATTCTCACATTTCGAGTGAGGCATCCCGTCCATAGTCCTCTCCCCCCGCTCTTATTTCAACTCTCCCTCTGCCCGCTTTCTATCCCAAACAGCAGCGTTCATTTCCTGACACTCGTATAGAAAAAGATGCATTATTTACCACCCCATCCCCCCCGTTTTGGTTGACAGGAAGCAGACCAAAATAAGGAGGGCAGATTTACTTCAATTAGCTTCAACTTGTCTTTTTCATTCCCATCAACCATCACCCGTTCAGCTCTTTCACTTTCTATCTATCGTCTACTCAAACTCTACATATGAATTAATCCAAAGCCAAATGTACCCTTTTAAAGCCTATCAGCTATCATTGCCTTGATATAGCTTGAAAACATGACATATCAAGGTCCATAGGTACGTGTGGAGGAGCACCAATGTGCCCTGATTGGGAGCTGCACCAGTATGCGTGTCTGCTGGCCACCCACATGCATATCAACAAGTGCATCCTGAAGATCGCCTCTACCTGGGAGAGATGTGTGCAGAGCTGCACGATGCAAATCAGTGCAGCTTTAAACGAGCAGAGAATTATGTTGGCAAGATCAGTGGAGCGTGCTTTAAAGAATTCATGTTTTGTATCTGGAATGGTCGTCGTCCGGCTGTGTATACACTGAATAATTTATCAAGCCAGCCAGACTGAGGGATTGAATCTCTATTAGCTTAATCTCCCCCGTTTTGGTTTATTTATTTCACTGCACACTTCCTCATTTCTATTCCAGGGCAGAAAGCACCGGGTCTTCTCCTGCTTATTCTCACACACCTGCAAAAATCTTTTTTTGCAGAGATGCCTCAGTGGTTTTGACTTGTTAACTCTGCTTGTTAGGAACTTCAGCAAGAAAGATTTTTGTTAAGACTCGACGAATTTTGCTTTCAGACTATCTGTGTTAACAAGTAAAAGGTGAATGACAAATCTTTCCTTCAAGTAGATTTCAGACTGTCTCAAATTGATCCTCCGGCTTGTGACATCCTTCCTTAACTGCAGGCATCTACAGTAGGTGGGAGCGTTTCTGCAGATTCCTCTGCTACATTGCAAATCCGCACTGCCACCCATAACTGCTTTACGTCTGTTATTAATCCATCCTGTTTTTCCGTCCGTCCATCCTGAACTTTAGCGTTTTAGACATGAATAATGTGTTGGAACCCTGCATTAAAGGATTGTTTCTCTAAATGACTCCTATTTTTAAAACATAGCCTGTAAATCAAACTAATGTTAGGTAGAATGGAAACCTAATAAGACTGAATCAAAGCAAATATATATATGTTTTCTTTCAGGTTGGATGATTCTTTGGCCGAGGTATTGGATATCTTTAGTCCCTTCTCTGCCCAAAAGCAGCACAAGCCTGCTGCTGGAAGACCCAAAACATTACAACACAGTTCAACCCTTGCTGGCTTTAAATCCGGAAAGATAAACCTTCTTACTCCTGGTGGGAACCATCGACAGAACCTTCAACAGGACCTGGAAGAAAGCCAGATACTTGAAGACATTTTTTTCATTTGCTAACAAATAGAATAATTTACTTAAATGTCACCACCTAATCGATGGCATTTTATTGTCTTGAGTAATTTCTAAAATTAGGATTTATTTTTTATTTTTTGTTTATCTCTTTTGTATTAACACTTTTCTTTACCATACAAATAAATGTATATTTACTCTGAACTTCTTTTGTAAGTAAATCATGCTTTACCCGAGGAATGTTTTTAAACGCTGAGCTGCAGTTATTGCCTCTGAAGACCTTGGCAATGTAAATTCAAACTGAATCTCATGACTCACAATTGACCGTTCTGATTCTGACTCGATGTATTATGCATACATCTGCAGCCTCAGTAAATCCCTGGGAATGTAAGGCAGTTACTCCTTTTTACTACAAACACCTTTCTTTGTATTTCATTTTTGTGGAGTGTGTGAGACATGACGCATAAGTGACAGTCATTATTGATTATATTATATCTATCTATCTATCCATCCATCCATCCATCCATCCATCCATCCATCCATCCATCCATCCATCCATCCATCCATCCATCCATCCATCCATCCATCCATCCATCCATCCATCCATCCATCCATCCATCCATCCATCCATCCATCCATCCATCCAGAGTTGATTTAAAACTCACTATAACCTTCAGTAGCAATATAACCATTTTATAAAGGTTAATTAACTGCTTTTATTTGAGATAGAGAAGCAACAGTTATTACCACTGCTGCTGAAAATATAAGATAAATACAAAATTTATTAAAATAAATTTTGCATAATTATATTAAACTTGTTGTAGTTGGTTAATTAGGTCAGTAGGGGGAGTGGTGGCCTAGGGGTTGGGCTATAGGGTTTGAATCCTGAGGTTGTGAGTTCGAAACCCACTCCCACAGACTGCCACCCTGAGACCCTGAGCAAGATCCTTAACCCCTGATTGCTCCCCGGGTGCCCAACGATGGCAGCCCACTGCTCCCCAAGGGGATGTGTGAAATGCAGAGCTAAAATTCTCCAATGTGAAATCAATAAAGTTAAAATATTAGTTTTTGAACCGAGGGTTGTCAGGGGACCTTAGATAATTAGAGGGAAGGTTAAAAAATATACAATAAAGGACTACATTAAAAAACCAAAAAAATAATTCTCCTAGATTATTACTATTTCAAAATGATAAAAAAAAGACTTGTGATGATATACTGAGATGAAAGACCAAGAGGATTTAAAGCTGAACGCTCACGTCTCCCATATACACAGACTACAATCTATTCCACCTTAGCTAAGAAGCCAGAAGCCAATGTTGATCAGTTGTCCACTGCCCTTAAATGTAGCTTTAAAACTGTTACCTTTTAATTTGATTCATAAGCAGCCCTCCTTCGCCTTCTATGATTGTTTTTTGTGATTTAAAATATTTTCATACAGTTAGAATGGGGAATTTTTCAACCAAAGTGGTCTCACTGCTTTACCAGGACTTTGTGTTACAGCCTGTGTTTAATTGGTTTTGCAGAACTGGTTTGTTTTCCCACAGCCGAGTAACCTAAACGCCACATCATTACGCCACAATAAATATCTCATCCACTCAGTGTTTCTGCCTCCTAATTGTGTTTACGGGGGTTTGCAGTGCAACTCGCTTCCTCTATGCTCTGTGCAGCAGGAAAAACTTCCAATAACTCTGGCACTTTATTACAACTTAAAAAGAATAGGTAAAGTAACACAGAAAGTCAGTGTTTGGTTAAAGCTTTAACCTTTTTTTAAACCCCACCATACTTTGACCATGGCAAGATGTGAATGTTTTACATCAACAAACAGCAAAATCTCCCATTGATAAATTCTCAGTAATTATGACACCACACAGATTACATTATTCTAGACTGTGCTTTATTATTGGGCTAAGCTGAGACGCATCATTCATTTAAAATTACAAAAAGAGGAGTCCAGGGGACCAGAGAATGGTGCAGTCTGGAGAGACGGGGTGGGAGGAGCGGGACCCTAAAGCGGACTGCCCAATCAGAAGCTCAGCTCATTAGGAACCTGGCAAAGCTTTAATATGCAACATTCATTTCCCCAGCCCTCCATCTGTGCTGAAATTTGGGAAATACAGTAGATTTCCAGAACACTTTGAAAACCACATGATGTAAAATGTGATTCTAGCAACACTACTGAGCCTTAGAAATAAGATCACACTGGTAATAGCACAGAAAAAAAAGAAATAAATAAAAAGAAACCTGGATTTTTCTTTTCTCTTTTTGATGAATTAGTGCAGTCATTGTTGAATTTTGTTTTTGGCAGAAAATATGGGTTGAACAAGATCAGAGCTCTGTCAAATACTTGAAGTCACAATGAAAAACAAATGCAAGTAGTGATGAACAAGAAACAATTATTTCTAATTGCGAAACCTATTGGAACGAAATATCCAAGAGTTTAACCAATTTTGGAGAAAAGGCCCAATAACAAGAGGACAATTTCCTGACAAAAAACAGTTTTTTCCAGAACAGCATGAATCTATAGTTACAGTATGTATAAGGCTTTAGCGTTTTACTGCATTGTTGAGTTCATTTGTGAAAGAAAAAAAAAAAAATCAGTCATTGAAGAAGTAAAATTCAGATTAGGGCTTTTGAGGATTAGGGGCGACAGCAGAGCTCAGATCTTGAATCTAACAGCACAAATAAATACACAATAAATTAAATAAATAGATAAATAAATGATTAAAATCTGTTTCTGACATCAGTTGGTCAATAGGAGTTTTTTTTTTTTTTTTTTGGTTTTTCTTCTCCATCACCAAAGAAGTGCTGAAGGTTTGGTCCCTCAGGCAGGAACAAAGATCATCTATGGACCACGACGGCAGCCCATGCATGTCATATAAAAAAAGATTTGGTCACGTACCAACTCATAGAAAAATAATGCTGTGAAAGCATGCATATCATCTCAGACATGACTCCTAAACAAATATCTAAAGGAATAAATGAATAGAACCCACTGAAGTTTTTTAAACCTTTTGTTTTTATAAAATAGGTCAATGTGTGTCTAAGCTCTAACTGAGGTCAATGCTCTCCCTGACTGTATTCTGGATAAATGCCTTGGTCAGGTCCTACAGTTTTCACCGTAACCTAGCGACTGTATTTTTTTTCTTTTTTTTTTTGTACCTGGTTTCAATGAGCATTATCGTGTTTTCATTCATATATTCATATTTATATATATATTTATTTAAAGTATTTAAAGTACTTTATCCAGTCCTTGTAGATGGAAGTAAAAGTCCTATAAAATATGCAAACCTATGTACAGAGGAAAAACAGAGCAAAAAAGAAATAATTTACAGTATATTCATCAGTTTATGTATATATTTATATATATTTATATTCAAACTTCTGCTCTGTCTCTTGTTGAACCAGTCAGTTTCACTTTTTTTCCAACCTGTAAACTTGCAGCTTTGATTCAGAGCAAGTGAAGATTTCCAATACTTCACATGATTGCTTTACCTTTCCTTACATCATGAAAACATGGGTAAAAGACATGGATGATTGCTCAGACAAGCTCTGTGTACGCTTCTCTTTGTTTTTTGAAAGATTTCTCAGTGCAGCAGCGGGGAAGTCAAAAAGGGGTAGACGGAGCTGCGATCAGCGGCTAAGGCTGAGCCACATTTTTGTTGATGTTATTTTGAAACATAAACAGTTTGTTTAAATGCACCTAATCATGTTGGTCATCTTGGTTGCACTAAATCACACGCTTGGTGAATTAAGTACTGCACTAAAAAAAAAAAAAAAAACAAGCCGGGATGTGTGGAGTGGCTGTTTTCTTTCCTTGCTAGATTTGGGAGGTAAATGTTAAATTATTCAAAGAGCTAAAAAAGGTTAGATGCAGACGCCAGGGAACCAGCATAATGAGCAGTTTATAGCTAAACTGGTAATGGCACCTAACGGGAAGCATTGTCTTCCAAAAGTGTCATATAGCCTTATAAATATGCATATCTATAAATATTCATTAAGTATTCCCACCAGCTCAATATGTGTTGAGGGGAGTCCAATAAATCCACGTCTGTTGACCTTTTAGAGGTGTATAGTAGGTGTTTACAACATTTTCCTGTGGAATGCTATAGAAAACTCTATGCTGAGCAATCATGAAGTCAGCCTCAGTAAGAGAGCAGTTGCATTAAGTGGAAGGGTTAACTTCATTTTGGAGCTGAAGGCAGTAGAGCCTTCATTTCTGAATACAAATTATGGCAAAGATGTGTAAAAAGCAATAAAATAAATTTCTTTAAATGTAATTTCAGTAAACAACCAAAATCTTTCCCTATTTTTTGTGCAACGGGACTTTTAAATGGTGGTCCAAAACTTCCTGTTACTCTGGAGGTAGAAAAATGTGTAAAAGGGCTAGTTTCTATTCACAGATCTTTACATTGGGATAGACAACAGAAAATATCCCATTTAGGTAAGGCTGATGTCCTCTCTTCCTAGCTATTAGGGAACAGCAAGAAGTTAATGCAAAAAAACTTGCACTTGCAAATGTACAGGAACAGTTTGAAAAAACTTCATTTACTATTGGAACTATAATCTACTAGGCTGGAGGATAGCCCAAGTTTATAAGTGTATTTCATTAAATTAGAAAGTTCATCTGTTTTACTCATTCAAACCAAAATGTAAAACCGGTTGATTCCACAATTATTCCTTCCACTGAACTTTCCTTCTCATTTTTTTAAAGAAACTTGATCGTATTTCATCTATATTCATCTATAGTTTTGTACTGTTTAGACTGCAATTGAAGTCCTCGTTGGAAGGTGATTTTCTGTAACCAACAACAAAGGTAATATTGACTCTTTCAATCGTAGAGGTTGCTGACTCTGGTTTACAACATAATTAGGAATTTAGGAAAAATAAACCACTGAAACCTCATACTGTGTATAAAGAATGGAGATTCGCTTTTTCAATGGAATATTTATGTAAATGAAAATGTAAATCCCTCTATTGTCTCACAATGGGGAAATCAACTCTCTGCATTTAATCCATCCCCTTGGGGAGCAGTAGGCTGCCATTGTGCGGCGCCCGAAGAGCAGTGTGGGGTTATGGTCCTTGCTCAGGAACCCAGAGTGCAGGCTTTGGGAATCGAACCCGGTACTTGTAGCCTTCACAGAGCACAAGTGTACTGCCCTAACAGCTAGGCCAACACTCCCCTTTGAAAAGATTAAATAAACTTTTCTAAGATGTCGAACTGCACAGTGAGCAGGATGGTTTGACGAAACAGTAAAGTTTCTTAAAGGTATTATTAGACAACTGTAACAAAGAATAGGATCCTAGAAGTCACAACGTCTCCATAACAACCAAGTATTTTAAGGCTTTTTGCACATCTTTGACAGGGTTATCCAGAACTGTGTTGTTGTCCATTTTATATATATATATATATATATATATATATATATATATATATATATATATATATATATATATATATATATATTTATTAAGTCAGATGGGAAGATGTTATTAGGCATAATGAAAGTTAAAAGTAAATGCTTCACGTTGCCAGCAGAGATTTGCTATTAAAACGTTATATGAAACCAGATTTCGATCATCTTTATCCTCATTGCAATAACGTCATAGCTGTAAATACTGCTCAGTCACTTCCCTCATTCAGTCACGCCTACTTTATTCTCCAGCTTCGACCAGAGGAAGATAGTTACAGGAGCCCTGCACACTGCTTTGATAGTTAACACCTGTGCCAACAGGTTACCTAATGCCCACGTTTTATAGTCTGATCACGTGTCTACTTCCGCTTTAAATGCATGTTTTTGTTTATTTTTGCAAAGACAAAGGTAGACCCAACAGTGATCGCACGATTTGCTCTGTTTGACATGCGCTAAAGCTCTCTACATGGCTGAGAAATGATATGGATTTGCCTGGGGTTTTTTGACATCATAATAGCGCATTGGCTGCTTGCAGAAATGTGTGTTCAGGTTCTTTGTGTCTGTCTTTGTTTTTGTTTTCATTTTTGTGTGAGCACAGTGCTGGATGGCAGATTTTGCAGGTGACAAGGCACACCTCGACGTGGTGACAGCCCATACGCTACATGCACTTTACTGAATGCAAAAGAGAGCAAGGGTTGTGAGACGTATTCGTTTTGGTTCAAGTTTCAAAGAGAAGTTTGTGTGTGTGTGTGTGTGTGTGTGTGTGAGCTCACATGATATGTTTTGGAATAGAGTCGAAGATAATTGTCCTTTTCTTCTAAAGAAAAAATCCTCTTTAGCCTGATTCTCTTAAAGCCTGCTACTGAGAGGTGGCTTTTTGCATGTTTCAGATAATATTTACAGAAGATACGTTTTCTCATATGCGCTGATCTTTTTTTCTTTTCTTTTTTTTTTCTTTCTTTTTTAGTAACATGTCATGTGTCAGCATATTTGTTATCAGAGATAGGAATGCCTGCAGTTTTGGGGAGCTGCCAGATGTGCGGGTCTTCCCAAGCAGAGCAATGCTTCAAACTCCTGCTAAACTCTACAAAAAAAGGACAGCTCAACTTAGTCAGTAGCCGCTCTATGTACAGTCACACATATATAAAATATGTGCATATAAATACATATATTTGTGATTAATATCTATTATCCATATATACTGTATATATGAATACATTGCCTTGAATGCTTGTTATACATTTATATGTACTGCAAATATAAACAAGTTCATATATTTCAAACGTTTCGGATGTTCTTTTATCTGTGAGGTTAGGATGTCGATTTTAAAAAAGATAAGGCTGTGATACGGAGCAGCCCCTCCCATGCATTCGCCATCCCTCCCGAGACAAAAATGAAAAGGGGAACAAAAATAAACATTTTGCGTAATTGTAAACTAACGAAGTGAGAGACCCTTTTTGGTCATCTGAAATAGTTCTGCCTGTATTCCAAAAAAGCATATCATTAATATATATGTATATATACAGGTTTTGTATATATTCGAAATGTACACTTGTTTCAAGTGCAACTCTCCAGGCAGGCGCCGCTGACTTAAAGAGATGCAGTGGTCCAAGTATATTAGAGCTACAAGTCCTCAGCAATAAAAACGTTTGGTCTTTTGGTCCCTAAAACAACTAAGGAATGACGGATAAGACTCCCTGGAAACCGTTGCCGTGGCTCTCCTCTGCAACGGTGTTCCCTGGAAACAGACAGGCACTCCGAGCTGAAGATGGCCATCCCAAATCTGTGTCCTGAAAATGTCACATTCCCTACTGCAGTTCTCTCTCCCTCTCTTACAATTTGAACTTAGTTGCTTGAAGTCTTAGAAATTGGTCTTCAAAAGTCATTTGTCCAAAAAGAAACTCAAACCATCTCACAGAAGGATCTCCTATGGCAATCCTCTATTCAGTTTTTAAAAAGTTTTTATTTCCTGTTGGACTTTTGGCATCCATATTCCCTTGCAGAGTTCAGTAGAAATGGTCATAATCAGTAGGTCTGATGTAGGATCTTTAACTTTTTTTCCCCCTTTCAGCATTCAAGTAAAAGTGTTTGTGGTCCAGAAAAAGGTAGCTGTCATTCAAGCAGGGTTTTTAGGTGGAGGAGGTGTATATTAGTGTGCAGGAGAAAAAGAAGTCATGGTGCTAACCAGAAATTCTCTCTTGAGTTCACTAGTTTAAGTACATCCAAAGGGAGGTGTCCTGGACCTGGCCAATGCTCACTCTCCTCTCTCTTTCTCTGAAGCAGCCTTTGTGGTCCGGAGGCTGAGTTTTAACTCAGCAGTTGGTAGCAAGTGGTCAACATGTTATTCAGCTCAACAAATCCTAAAACGAAAACACAGAAGAAAAGATTGTATCAACAACGGTATCAGCTTTCAATTAAAATGTTCTTACAGACTTAAAGATGCGTCATGCGGCCATACATAATACAGCCCATACTATCCAGGGACTTGAAAGAGGATTTCCCTAAACTTGGTTTTTTAATTTAAATTTTTTTAGAGAACTTAAAAGAAACTTTGTAGTGAATTTTGTGGACTTCACAAACTGCATTTTCTAAATAAATTGCAATAGGTTTTCAGGAAAGTGCATAAGAAAGTCATGGAAAATTCCTGAGAAGTAAATGGTAGCTCTCTAAAGGTAAGTCTAAAGTTCCCAGAAAGTACTGGGAAAGTTTTGTGAATGCTCCTTTATGTCACCTCATAATACGGCTAGTTTTCTAGTATTAGTAGTAGCAAGTTATAACTCCCCCCAAGAAACATCAACATTAAAGGCAGGTCCTGAAAAGTAAATAGTCTTTTTTTTTTATAAAGTTCCTCTAAAGTATTTGCTGAGATCTTTGTAATTACTCATTAGGCTTAACTTTTAGAGCCCAATTCCCAACGGTACTCATGAAGGATGTATGAAATTCCTGGTAAGCTCCAAGAAAGTACCGTACCATAAGACACTTTTATAATACAATTATCCAGCAGGTTCCAGGAAAGTACCATGAAAGGTATAGGCAAGTTCTATGTAAACTCAGTGAAAGTTCTTGTTAATTTCTTTGAAACCACCATGAGGGCTGCAGGTACATTTCATGAACGTACCCAATAGGAATCATCTAATAATAAGCATGTAAAATTCCATGATGGCAGAGTAGTAAAAAATGCCCAACATGTGGCTTGTTTGACAGAGTTGGCAAGAAAAATCATGTTTTTTTTTTAAAGAAGGTTTACTGGCACAGATTCAATATTTAAAGTTGCATCTGAGCAACAAAAATAAAAGACTTTTGGAAATTTTTGACATTTTGACAAATGAAGTTAGTGCAATATTAGCAGCAGCACATTGGGTTAAAACCAAGAAAAGCATATCAGCTCCAGGGCCTCAAACACATTGCAAAAGGATGATAGTGTGGGCTGCTTTTGCACTTGCAGCCAAGGGATCTGTTAACCTTCGCAGTCACTAAGTCAAAACACAAACTCCTCTATTATTATTATTACATCGGGAATAGATGGAATCTGATCATAAGCTGAACAAAATATTAATAATTGCAGCAAAAAAAGGTGCTTTGGTCACCCAGTAAACATTGAAATCCTTACAAGCATTAGTGAACGGACTGAATTCTCCCCAGATAAATGTGATAAACTAATCACATCTACGAAGACTTGGCCGAAGGTGGTTTCCAAAGCTGCTGCTTTGTGTATTTCTATTTCTACTCACTGTATAATGCCAAAACAATTGGAAGATTCTCTGAAGCTTCTTGGACAACAGCAAAAAAGTTGCAGTGAGTTACTCAGAAGTCCCCAGGGACAAGTGGGCAGAGGCCGTTGCTATCTCTACAAATAAATATTTAGTTTCAAAATGTTAAAATATGTAAAAATAACAGATCAAAACTTGTGTCGTGTATATATATGGCTTGACAAATACATATGAGATTGCAATATTTTGCCAGCGATTTGCCCCAGGACACTGTGTGGTTCAGCTGGTTTGTGAGTGGGTGATAAGTTGCCCTTGAATGAAGTCATCAGCGGTGAATGAACGACGCGGCGCGAACCCTCCATCACGCAGATGAAGGGAGGAGACAAAGAGGAACGGCACAATTACTCGCCTGAGGGGTAATAAATGCCTCCCCCTTGGAACCATTTTCTTCTCTGCGCAACACACTGAACCATTTACCAATTATCTTTTACCTACAGGGTAACATGCAGGGTCACTTACTGTAAAGATGTTCTGCAAACACAGGAGGCGGCATGTAAGGAAAATGCTCCTACAGCTTTGTTTGTGTTTGACAGACGTTGAAACAGAACATCAAATCTATTTTCAATATCAAGAACTTTACCGGGGGCCTGGATTTCTGTATTGCAAACAAAAAGAGGATGCAAACTTACATTTTCTAGATATTCTTAACAATCAAAAGGCTTTTATTTAAATACTTTCTTTGTTCCAAACCATTTTCTCCCTGCCTGGTCCCATGTGAGCTTCATTAGCATAACCTTACCAAATATATTCTTAAACTGTCGGCAAAGGAGTAAGACTTCACTAATCTTTACAAGCATTTTACAGATGATCAGGCTGTTATTAGGTGTCTGCGAGTGTTTTATGGCTTCCATAAAAGGTTATGGAAAACACATCAGGCGGTATCATAAATGGGCCCACCGTCGGCGCATTTGCCAGTTTAATATTGCAGCACTTGCGGACGCTTTGGTTCAGGTAATCAGTTATCGGGCTCGAGTGTCACCTGACCTGTCTTCTCCTGTTGACAGCGCCTGCCCCCGTCGGCCACGATGGCGTTGGCCAGTTGGGGCAGGGGAGGAGGGCTAGTACGGGCGGTTGGCGTCCTTTGGCCTCTTCAGCTGGACCTTCAGTCTCTTCATGCCAATCTGGAAGCCGTTCATGGATTGGATGGCAGCTTGGGCACTACCTGGGTTGTCAAAGCTGACAAAACCTGTGTGTGTGTGTGTGTGGGGGGGTGGGGGGGTGGGGTTGCATAAGGAAGAGACAGGGGGAGTAGTTGTTAGATAAAGATGCAAGAGAAGATTAGGCCTCTGTACTGTGATACCATTATAAATCTAATGCAATATATTGTCCTCAGAAGTCACCATCAAATAGAGTCCCCCTGCATGTAGTGTAATCCCTGTACTAATTCAGCGGTTATGTGAAGGCTTCAGAGGTTTGTTAGAGAACATTAGCGAGCAGACATCAACATTACAACCAAGGGCCGCAGCAGGTCAGGTATAAAGCTGTGGAGATGTTTAAAACAGGGTTAGGTTATAAAACACATCCCAGACTTTGGACACCTCACAGCACTGTTCAATCCATCATCTGGAAATGGAAAGAGTATGGAGCAACTATAAAACCTCAACAGAGGCCAGGCAAGGAGGAGATTACTCACGGAAGCAAATAAATAGTTTATGGTAATGCCAGAGGAAGTTTAGAGATCCATACTTGGGTGTCAAAGTGTTTTAACTGGACAACTGTTAGCTGTGATTGATATAACAGAGTATTTAGAAGAAAGTAAAAGTTAACAGAAACTCTTAATAATATCAATATAAATCTTCTCCTGCGGCACGTAGCCGATCAATACATGCTTAGTCATTCTTTAAGAGCCCAGCGGCGTCTGCCCACTTCTATCAGTATGCCCCAGGGCAGCTGTGGCTACAGTGCAGCGTGCCACCATCAGTCCCCTGACTTGCAAAAGGTGCTATATAAGCCCATTTACCATTTATTATGGATTCAAGGTAGTTTAGTACAGATTTTAATTTGTGAACAATAAAAAAAAAAGTATTTCATTTTATTTACTTATTTATGTTGGTCTACAAAATCCCTGAAAAGGCTATGCAGGACTTCATGGTCATTGGTGACAGAAATAAGGCAAAGTAACATAGAATAGAAATGTCAGCTCATAATGGTTTTCTATCATGCACAGTCTATGAAGCTTTAAGGGATTCTTCTAAGCTCATGCATGTGGTGTAAAATTAATGGGTAAGAGCTAATTTGTTAATTGGTTGCAACATATGGACCAACCATCAAACATTCCCCACCATTCATTTTAAACTTGACATTAGTGTCAGTGATAAATTGAGACAATAATTCTTATAATGGAATGGTTCTAGCAGAGCTTCCATAGGGTACGAGAGCCCACATTCGTATTAGATGTAACAAACAATATAAAGAGGTATCTAAATGCAAAAATAAAAATGTTTAGGCTTTACACTAAAGCAACAGTAAGAATAGACTGAACAAAATATGTTTTGTATGGTTTAAAAAAAAAAAAAAATTGGACACACATTTAGTAAAAAGAAAAATCAGAAAACAGTAACCATTGATTCTGTTCATTTTTACCCACCAAAGCATTTACTTTGGTTTGTCGCCCGATCCACAAACACTTTGGAGGAGATGACATTACCGAAAGGCAGGAACATCTGCATCAGCTCTCCATCCCCAAACTCCTGAGGGAGGTGGTAGATGAACAGGTTGCAACCCTCTGGTCCTGCATGAAAACAGTGACAGAAACACAAAAAAAAAAAAAAGAGATGGAGAGACGGTTGAAGGGCAGGGAAGAGGAGAAGGAGAGAAAGGTGAGAAAGGAGTAAAGTTAAAAGCAGAGCTAGAATAGGAAAATATCCACTCATAAGAAAAAGAAAACACCTTTTTGGCTTACTGCTTCAGCTCAGCACGCACATTTCCTTTAGGATTCAGGTCCAACGAGTTTTTCAGTGATAACCATTAAAAAATGCTGTATCAAATGATGGGTTCTTCTATTTTGCCTTATTTTGCTTTATTTTAATATTTCCTAAAACCAATAACTCTAACATTGCAATGGAGAAAAAGAGCTTACAGCCTTCTTCTCCATACCTAACAATAGGCATGACGCTTCCCCACTTCAATCATCCTCTGGTTCGTATCAGATTAAGGAAAAAAAAACACATTTAACGTTTAATGAGCTAGCTCTGATTCTTTGATTGTGATTAATAAAAAATCTAGACTTGAATTTAGTGACACTACTGACTTTTATTTTATAAAATTCGTTAATCTCTGTATTCTCTAGTCAACTGACAATAATTTAAAAAGCATTTTTAGGGCTCACAAAAACGGTGGTGTTTTTGTATATTTTTATATTTACTTTTTCCTTCTTTTAATGACCACTAAAAGCTGCTAAAAGCGTAGAATCCTTGATGGTAGTGGATTGAAAGGTGTTTTAATCTTATCCACAAGAGGGCAGTAATGTTCCAGATATGAGCCTTTTCCTCCTTGAGGTCATTAAGTTTAAATAAACAGGTTTACAGCAAAGTTTTAGATGCTCTTTCTCATTCATTTGCTTTGATTTAAAATTCAGTTTTAAAGACCTTTCATCTTTCAAAAAACGATTTGCCATAAAGCATTAAAAAAACCCTCCAAACTGAGCCTTTAGACTCAGGTTGTTGATTCAAACTAAAATACTACTGTGTTGTTTTGTCAAATAGCTGCTGAAAACACTCAAAAACATAAAGTATTCCATAAAAGCAGTCTGGAAACTCAAGAGAAGGACAAAGCTAAATAAAATTTGTGCAATAGTGTTTGTGTGTGACTGTGTTACCTTCTCTTTGCTGCTGTGGAATGATGGGCGGAGGGTGGGGGAAGGCCTGGCTGATCTGACCGTATGCGGCGGGGTAGGCTGCTGAGACCCACACACAGAAACACACACATGCACGCCGCGGATCAGATAACAGTCATGACTACAGCGCACACTTGAATACATACAAACAATGTGATATATGCAGGAGCACAGCAAGCAATCGATCAGATAGCATACACAATGGAGTCTACGTGTTGCACAAACACTGCCTTGGAGAGAATAAACTGATCCAGTTAGATTGAATGTTACATGATCAAAATTCTAATTTAAAGACAGGAGTGCTTATCTTTGCTCTCCACCTGATTTTGTTTTTTCTTTCTTTCTTCCCACTTTTTGTGGTATGAGACACAAACTAGCATCCATCCATGCACACAGACAGACACACGGATCAGCTCTGCGGTCAGAATGACAGACAGACCTGCATACTGCTGGACTCCAGTGTAAGCCTGCTGGAGAGGATCGGCTGCGGTGGGACTTTGAGCTGCTTCAGCAGGGAAAAGGAGAGGAAAGGAGGGAACAGAGAGAGAGGAGGATGTCGAGCGGAGGTGTGTGCAGGGGGGGAGAGGTGAGGCAGAGAAACGGATGGAGAATGTAGATGAAAGAGAGGGCACGGAGAAAGAGAGGACGAAACGATAACAAGGGGAAAGAAGGAGAAGAGCAGACAGAGAGGTTAGAGACAGCTCACTTTTGCTTCAGTTTGTCCAAAACTTTTCACTTATCTTGCCCCTAAAGCTTTACAAACTAGCTTTATAATCTGAAAAATAGATAAAACTTTGCAGGAAGAAGAGACAAAAAAACAAAACAAGACAAGACAAGAGTACCATTTTCACCAAATTAAAAGAACCAAAGTACCACTAATACCAATCATGCAAACCCTGTTTTCCTTCTACAAACAGAGCTGTGGACATATCTGTTCCTATGAGTCGCCCTTATACATCAAATTCCTTTCCTGCGCTTTGTACCTACACTATATTGCCAAAAGTATTTGCTCACCTGCCTTGACTCACATATGAGCTTAAGTGACATCCCGTTCCTAATCCATAGGGTTCAATATGACGTCGGTCCACCCTTTGCAGCTAGAACAGCTTCAACTCTTCTGGGAAGGCTGTCCACAAGGTTTAGGAGTGTGTTTATGGGAATTTTTGACCATTCTTCCAGAAGCGCATTTGTGAGGTTGCACACTGATGTTGGACGAGAAGGCCTGGCTCTCAGTCTCCGCTCTAATTCATCCCAAAGGTGTTCTATCGGGTTGAGGTCAGGACTCTGTGCAGGCCAGTCAAGTTCATCCACACCAGACTCTGTCATCCATGTCTTTATGGACCTTGCTTTGTGCACTGGTGCACAGTCATGTTGGAAGAGGAAGGGGCCAGCTCCAAACTGTTCCCACAAAGTTGGGAGCATGGAATTGTCCAAAATGTCTTGGGATGCTGAAGCATTCAGAGTTCCTTTCACTGGAACTAAGGGGCCAAGCCCAGCTCCTGAAAAACAACCCCACACCATAATCCCCCCTCCACCAAACTTTACACTTGGCACAATGCAGTCAGACAAGTACCGTTCTCCTGGCAACCGCCAAACCCAGACCCGTCCATCAGATTGCCAGATGGAGAAGCGCGATTCGTCACTCCAGAGAACGCGTCTCCACTGCTCTAGAGTCCAGTGGCGGCGTGCTTTACACCACCGCATCCGACGCTTTGCATTGCACTTGGTGATGTATGGCTTGGATGCAGCTGCTCGACCATGGAAACCCATTCCATGAAGCTCTCTGCGCACTGTTCTTGAGCTAATCTGAAGGCCACATGAAGTTTGGAGGTCTGTAGTGATTGACTCTGCAGAAAGTTGGCGACCTCTTCGCACTATGCGCGTCAGCATCCGCTGACCCCGCTCCGTCAGTTTACGTGGCCTACCACTTCGTGGCTGAGTTGCTGTCGTTCCCAAACACTTCCATTTTCTTATAATACAGCTGACAGTTGACTGTGGAATATTTAGGAGCGAGGAAATTTCACGACTGGATTTGTTGCACAGGTGGCATCCTATCACAGTTCCACGCTGGAATTCACTGAGCTCCTGAGAGCGACCCATTCTTTCACAAATGTTTGTAAAAACAGTCTGCATGCCTAGGTGCTTGAATTTATACACCTGTGGCCATGGAAGTGATTGGAACACCTGATTCCAATAATTTGGATGGGTGAGCAAATACTTTTGGCAATATAGTGTATCTGTCTCCACATCTAATGCATGCATAGAGTACAGCACTGAGAGGACACACACAGAGACACACACCGATAAACCCAATATCACTGCAAACAGCCAAGAAATATCGAACACACTGAGAACCAACGGCAACACTAAAACAGTCACAGATGGCCTGAAGGAAAGAGGAGAGGTAAGGGAAAAAATAGAACTCTATAAAAGTTACAGAGTGTGAAATCATATTGTGGCCTTCTTTCTCAACCTGTGAAACATATTTTGCCTGGGGCCACTAGGCAAAGGTTAATCTCAGGTCAGGGGTTTCTGAAAGGCCGAGATCCCACTTTTGCCTTTCCAATCCCATCAAATATTAAGGTGCTGCACTGTAATGTTCTACTTTTAAAAACTTTTAAAACATAGACAATTTAAATTTTTATGTGTTTGCACATTTGAAGGATAATTTCTTGGGTCCTTATACAGTGCCTTGCAGAAGTACCCGTTACACATTTAGTAGTTTTACCACCACAAACTTTGTGAAAGAGACCATCAAAGTGGTGCATACTTAAAAAAAAGAAAATGTGGCCAATGATTTGGATTTAATGTCCTCAATATGAACTCAGGGTTGTTGTTCTTGTGGATGGTGAACCTCTGCCCCGAACTCAGATCTTTTGTAACGTCTAACAGATTGCCCTGTGTTTAACTCCATCTGTCTCTGACAATCAGCCCTACCCCAGCTGAAGAAAAGCAACCCACTGCATAATGCAGCGACTTCCATCTTTCACCATTTGGGTAGTGCATTCAGGATAAAGTCAACTGTTGCTTTTTCTCCATATCTGGTATTTTGCATATAGATCAAGAAGTCTCATTTGTGGCTCCTATGATCAGACCAGCTGCTTCAATAAGTTTGCTGTGTCCTCTATGTGCCTATTGGCAAACTCAAGAAAACTTCTCTCAATAAAGACCTTTTATTTACTACCCTTCTTTATAAACATTGCCCTATGGATCTCAGCAGCTCCTCAATAGGTACCAAGGCTACCTGTGGGCTGCTTCTCAGATAAACGCTGTCCTTACACAGCCTGTCTGTCTAGATGAATTGTGATTTACATATTTTAGAAAATAGGTGAAATGCTGCTCTGCTTAAAGCTTAAGCTGGTTTTACAACCCAACCCTAATTTTAATACATAATATCTGACAGCTAAATTATGCTTTTTGTTCACTTATCTTCTCTAGCAAAGCTCTGATGCCCTAACGAAATAGCAGTATTTATGAAGTTGAAAAATAGTGTTGTAAGGCACTGCATGGATTTTTTTTTGTTGTTAGACTGGGAAGTGTTCACCAAAAGAGGATTTGTAGTTCATGTGTTTTATACAAAGTGGTCAAATTCATCATGCCAAATATATTTCTGCTGGGTTCCTCTTCCTCTTTCCTACACATTCAGGCCTTAGAATACCTCACAGAGTTTAATCTACAGATTAAATAACATCTACGAAATAGTAAGGATTCAAATCTTTCAGACCGTTTCGGAAATGAGTGTTAAGGTGTGTGGGGGATGGTTGGAGGGGGATGGGGGGGGTGGGGGTGGGGGGGCTCTACCTTCTGATAGAGAAGAGAGGAAGCAGCCACCCTGAACCCCAAAACAACTCCTCGGAGCCACGCCCAAGCCGTTTTTCTCTGAGTCCTCCCTAAAAACCACCTCTTGCAACACTGCGGAGACAAGAGTGCAAAGAAAAAAAAAAGCTGAGTTTTTCTTCTTCCACCTCCTCACAAAAGCACTAGCCACGGCTCACGACACAAGCCCATACTCACACAGTCAGAGATGCTCACCCCCACGCCACGTTCACAGAGCTTTACTTTAACCTTACCAACATGTTTTCGGGGTAGTAACATATGCAAACTGGCACGGTGTACACTTTAAATTCAATGGTATGTAGAAAGCTTTGCTGTCTTGGAATACATAGTCTAAACTAAAACCTAGCAGTTGAGCTTTCAACATTTTTACTTTTTCAATGACTTCTTCCAAAGATGATTAAATTTACCAGGATAATGGTGGATCCCATTGGTAAAGACAGCTTCTGCTGGTGGCTGCCCATTGGCCTGGGGCGGTGGCATGCCGGTAAATCCATTGACGCTGATGGGTGAGGGGATGCTGGTCACTGTGGGGGCACTAATGCCCGGGGGAGTGCTGCCACCTGCAATCACCAAAACATTGACAAACATTGTGTTGTTTTTTTTCTCTGCCCACGATAAAAGATGGAAAGGGTTTGTTTTGACCAGCCACCGAGTGACTCTCGTAAATGTCAGAGGGGCTGGTCCAGTGGACCGGTGAAGACACTAAATGTCACGGCTGATTTCTTGGCCCTGTATGACCCTCAGGGTTACACAACAACCATTAGACCTGAATGGCTGAGATGATCCTGCAGAGAAGTGAAAACTGTTGACATCAAACCAGCCATGCTTACAGTGGATACCTAAAATTACATGTAATTCTAAGTATCCACTGTATGCATTTGAAATCAAAGATGGTGCATTTGAGTATTTCTATTTTTTGTAAATTGTAAATTAACGTTTTTAGGAATTTCTTTACATGTGAAATAAAGTGAATAATAAAAGTTAAAAGGAAATAGTTCAAAGTTATTTTCATTTGCAGCAACAGTTTTCTACATTTAAATACCTATCTGATTAAAATGTCCAACAAGCCTAAAAAAAATTGTTTCTATGGAGACTTGAGAACACTGAAATGACAATGTTTGCAGGAGATTGTTTTTATATCAGTTCCAAATAACTTTCTCAACAGAAACAATAGGCATCATGAAAAAAAAACATTCGTACAAACAATATTGTTCTTAAAATGTTCTTAGGAATGATTTAGGAAAAAATTTTGCATTCACCACTTTTGTACTATTATTATTCTCCTGTATGATAAAATTTTATAAGGGCAATTAGTCAGCTGTTATCCAAACCTAGTTTTTCACAAAATGACCGTATTTGTTCTAGAGATTGTCCATTTTATAAGGCTACAGTCAGTAGAACCTCAACCTCCAAACTGGTGGTCTCTCATCTTTGTCTTCGGTGCCATTTCTGTGAATGAACAATGGTAGGAACTCGTAGCCTTACAGTGTCCCTGATCATGCGAACGGTGATGAATCATCCCAAAACCACAAGGGGGGAACTGATGGATCAACTGAAGGCAGCTGGGACCACAGTTACAAAAGAAACGGTTGGTAACACACTACGCCGTCATGGATTGAAATCCTGCAGCGCACGCAAGGTCCCCCTGCTCAAGAAGAAACATGTACAGGCCCGCATGAAGTTCGCCATTCACCACCTGAACGACTCAGAAGAGGCCTGGAAGAAGGTGATGTGGTCAGATGAAACCAAAATAGAACTTTTTGGCCTCAACTCAACTTGTTGTGTTTGGAGGGCAAAGAACACAGAGTAAAACCCAAAGAACACCATCCCCACCGTCAAGCATGGTGGTGGCAACATCATGCTTTGGGGGTGCTTTTCAGCCAAGAGGATGGGACAACTCCATCGTATTGAGGGGAGGATGGACGGGGCCATGTATCGTGGAATTGTGGACCAACATCTCCTTCCCTCAGTGAGAGAGCTGAAGATGGGTCGAGGGTGGGTGTTTCAGCACGACAACGACCCTAAGCACACCGCAAAAGCAACAAATGAGTGGCTGAAGAAGAAGCACATCAAGGTTCTGGAGTGGCCTAGCCAGTCTCAAGACCTGAATCCAATTGAAAATCATTGGACGGAGCTTAAAATTCGAGTTGCCAGGCGATAACCTCGGAACCTGAATGATTTGGAGGCTGTCGGCGGGGAGGAGTGGGCCAACATCCCTGCCGAAATGTGCACAAACCTTGTCACCAACTATAAAAACCATTTGACATCTGTGCTGGGCAATAATGGCTTTTCTACAAAATATTAACATGCTGTTTCTCCAGAGGGTCAAATACTTGTTTTTCATCATCAGATGGTTATAAATTTTAATAAATTCATATGATGTGATTTTCTGGAATTTTCTTTGGGATTCTGTCTCTCACTGTTAGAATGTACATTGATTAAAATTATAGATCGTTACATTCTTTTTAAGTGGGCAAACCTGCAAAATCAGCAAGGGGTCAAATACTTATTTCCCCCACTGTATCTAGAATTAATGGGGCAGTGATGGTGCAAATATACGTTTCTCGGGAACACCCTTATTTACGCACAGGTGGAGTGCATCAGAATGTTCGCTGAATCTGATAAGGCAGTTTGATAAGAATACAAAGATATTTCCCATTCTGATTACCAGTTCTAGCTAAAAAACATGCAGATAGTTGTTTTTGCATGACCTGGGGTTATATCTCCTAATAAATGACAATATAACATCCTGTTTCTCAATGACAATCAATTCTCTTTTATAGCAATGCTAAGTTGTTTTTGCCTATACTGTATGCGGTTACCATTGAATAAGAAATTCCATAATCTATTACTTTTCTTCAAGTGAAACCTGCAACTGATGCTGCAGCCTAATCTTGCTATTTGTTTTGGTAGAGTCTAGAAAAATCTGGATTTTGAACACTTTTTTTCTGCCTCAGGAAATGGTCAATATTGTCAGCATGAATGCTACCTTAATGGTAGCTGTTCCCTGGGGTCCTAACCTTTGATCCTCACCACTATTACCTGACGTAGGTGTCAGCGGTGCTCCGGGGAGGCCATTGATGGTAGCCATGTGCTGCATCTGGGCTGCTGCAAAGGCTGCCATTGGACTGAGGTAGCCCCCCTGTCCTACAGACGCCATCAATGCTGCCTGCTGCTGCACCTGCGGGTGGAGGAGGTGGAAGAGGAGATGGGATTAGAAAGCAGAGCAGAGAGTAATAAAAGGAATGCTGCTGTCTGTGAGGTCACTGAGATGAGAAAGACAGATAAAAGAAAGAAGTAGGGCTATAAAGTGAAATGAGGTACAGCGCAGAGACAAGAAAAAGAGGCTATTAGGTAGAAAGCAGGTATTGATTCTTACAGAATATCTATTCCCCAAACCATGTGTCTGTGTTTTAAGACTAACGTGAAAATCTGACATGTCCCACATTTCCTCCTCTGACATTATTTGATATTTACAGTTCCTTTCAAAACTATACATAGCCCTTAAACTTTTTCACATTTTATCAAGTTAGTACCAAAGATAGACTTTATAGGAGCAAATGTTAGAAATATAAATAGTCAGAAGTGTGACTTACATTTCCATTCAGGCCTTTTGTCAGAATAGCAGTAAATAATATTCAGTGCAACCAAAATGGAAATAAAACATATTCCACATTACATCACATTACTATTCTTTAAACGTAATTTCCATCACATTTTGTATTAAAATCCTTTACCAGTTCTGTTTTAAGAATGTCATGGTGGTCATGACGTGCACCATTGGTGCATCTTTGTGACAATGACTGCTGTTCTGCTTACTTTGCATTAAAAAAAATATATATATATAAAAAAAAAATATATATACATATATATATATATATATATATTTGTATATTCGACCCAGTTAAATAATGGATTCAATTAGTTGGACAGAGGGACAATGTCCCACGCAAACTGGGAACTCTAATCATCCTTCAGGACAGGTAAGTTAGGAGCAAGGCTGCAAAAACAAAATATCTCATGACTGGCATCATCCACACCTGCTCCCAGTGCATGTTGGACTCTTTAGGGCTGCTGTGTATGCCAATCCTTTTTCTGTTATATGTGGACACAATCTCAATTTATAGTCGAGAAGAGGAAATCAGAGTCTCATCTTTGCTTTTCGCAGATAATGTAGATCTGTTGGCTTTTTTAGGCCCCAACATGCAGTAGTATGCAGCTGAATGTGAAGCAGCCAGGATGACTCTCCTCCAAGCTCTTTGGTCATAAAATGTTGGATTCCCCCCCTCCCCACGGGTTCTAGATCAGTCACTGCTTAAGAGCAAAGGACTTTAACTACATTACACTATTGTTGTGTTTTTTTGATAAAGGATTGTAGGATAGACTGGAATATGGACAGACTAATGATTACTGTAATGATTTTGCCTTTTTATAGCAGACAAAGCCACATCAGTAATGTGGGTTCTGCTTCTTGCTGTGGTAAAAAAAAAATATGCTGAGGCAAAATGCAAAGCTCTTGATTTACTAGTCTATCTACATTCTGACCCTCACCTATGGTAATGAGATATGGATCATGACTGAAAAATTGAGATTATGGGCAGAAGTGGCCAAAATGAGCTTGCTCAATCGGGTGGCTGGACCTAGCCTCAGAGATATAGTGAAGAGCAATTCCAGTTTAGTTCCATCATTTGGCAGTGATGGAAGTAGAGCCTCTGATCTCTATCAACAACAAAAAAAAGAGTCAGTTGAGGCGGCATTGGATTTGGATTGATGGGTAGGTGGAGATAAAAAACAAACAAGCAACTGTCAGGACAACAGTCAGTTTGCTCACCGTAAGGGAGGTGGGGTTGAAGATGCTTCAACAAACCCAGTGTCATTTAGACACAGCAGACATAACTGTTAGGATAATGTTCTTTGATTTCTCCAGTGCATTCGACATAATTCATCCCATGATTCACATAAATGCTCTGTCGGAACCCCCAGAAGATTCAGATGAAGGTCTCAACAATCAACTGGATCAAACACTACCTGACAAACAGACCAGTTTGTGAGACTTAAGGGTCAAGTGTCTAATCAAATAGTCAGCAGCACAGGAGCACCACAGGGGAAAGTACTCTCACCATCCTATTTACTTTGTACACCTCAGACTTCCACTAGAAGACGGAGTGATGGACTGATAGACAGCTTTGTGTGATGTGTGCATGGTGTAGAAACAATCATCACACTCTGAATGTGAATAAAACAATGGAGAGGACTAGATTTTAAGAGAAACTAGAATGGTTCAACCCTATTGCCATAATGGGATAAAAAGTGGAGGTGGTGGAGGTATATAAATACGTCTGAGTTCACTTGGACAAATAGACTGGAAACACAAGTTATCTACAAAAAGGACAAAGCAGATTGCTGTAAGGAAGCTCAGGTCCTTCAGTGGTTTCAGCAACATGCTGCATATCTTCCCTAAGTTTGTTGTGGCGAGTGATCTCTAGTGCCATCATTTGTTGAGGTAGCAGCAATTGACTTATAAAAGTTCAACAATCTGATAAAGAAGGCCGGCTTTGTTCTGGGAACTCCTCTAGAATCTCTGGATATTATTTCACAAAGGAGAATTCTTCAGAAAATGAAGACTATTAAGAACAAATCCTGAGAATCTTCTATGTCAGACTATCATTCAAAAAGTGTCTTCAGTCTGCAGCTTCTTCAGATTTGTTGTAAGACAGACCGCTACAGAAGAACCATCCTGTGTACAGCCTTCAGCTTCTGGAACAACTAATTGAAGAAGTCCCTATGGTATCACAACATTTAATTTCCATTTTAGATCAATAACTACGTTTTATTTTTTTTTACTGAATTGAGTTTAATCTAAAAATAAAAAAAAGAAAGGCAAAACATCAATCATTCTAACACATGGCTGTCCACATGTGGATAATTTTGATAATAGGACTACTACGGTAGTTGATCTTCCACAAATCTGGACATTTTGAAAGAGTTGCAAGAACAAGGCAATTTCTCTCAAAAAGCTACCAGACATCCCCTTTACAGTTTACCTGAAACAACAAAGGAGACACCAGAAACATGTAGAATTATGCTAGTTTACTGGCCTGTGTGTCCTTTATTTAACAGAAGCAATAAAGCTGGCAAGAGACCCACACAGAGCAGAAACTTGACTTTGAAATGAATATTGGTTTTCATGAAAAACTCTAGACATGTAACTTTATTCCCAATGAACTGGTTTAGATCACAGTTCATTTCTGGTAAAACTTCAAAATCCAAGAACATAAGTGAGAAACATTCCATCCAATCTGAATATTCTAAAGCTTTTCTTGAAAGACAGAATGTGCAAAAATTGTTTAATATTGACTCAGGTCAATATAAATGCACCTAAAACATTGTTTTTTACTTAATAAAATCACTAGAATCACAGCCATGTATGTTTTTCCTTCCACTTTTAAAGATATGCACTGCTTTCTAGTAGTCTAAATCCAAATCAAGTACATTCCAGATTGTGGTTGTAATGTGATAAAATGTGAAACGGTGGAAAGGGAAACAGCCCATTTACGAGTTGAGTTTTATCACACTATTTAATCCCCACGATTTATTGGATAAATAACTCTTGATGAAAAGAGTGTATAGAAATATCTATATATGTGACTCTTGCCTGTGCGTATGCTCCGTAGGCTCCAAACTGCAGGGCCATGGGGTTGAAGATGCCCATCTGACCGGCCATCTGCTGCATGCGGCGGATGGTGCGCTCCTTATCCGTGTCAGCGAACTTTACCACCAGACTGGACGAGGCACCCTGTGCACCCATCCACACACACACACATACCCAGCAGGAAATTTTAGAGTGGTTCCATTGACATGGGACATAAGCTTGTATTTGAATTGACACACCCACACCACATACACATGTGCTTTCATGATTCATGCCAAGGCAATGGCCTAAGAGCTACAGTTAGTGCTCACTCCTCTGAAACATTTGGGGTGAGTTACATCCAAAGGACAAGTCTCCTCCTTGGGAATAATTAAGTCTAACTTAACTTTAAGAAGGCAATCAAACGATATTTGACTCATTTGTCTGGGAGACTTACCTCCCTCTCTCCCTTTCTACCCCTCTCTCTCTCTCTCTCACCATCTCGCCATACACAGTTAGAGGATACTCACAGGCATTGTCTGGCTCCCGTGAAGTGCACCAATGGCTGCCTGAGCTTCAGCATGAGACGAGTATTTTACAAACGCACAACCTGAGGGAATTGGAGATATGTGAAAACTAGGATGAAAAAATGAAAGTAACAATATTTCTAGTCACACAAAAGAAACATTAGGAGTACAGTTTCTGACCATTCACTAGTGACGTTCCAACTGGAGGCTCGATAAGCTAAGGAAAAGCCACTTTGGCACCATCAACAGGGTTCCGATGCTACCTTGTACTGACATGTGTCACCGATGAATCTGAATGATCCCGTTCACAGTAATTATTGAGCAAACCCAGCTGAGTAAGCTAGCTGATGAAGCCTTGTTAATGGAGCTTTATGCAGGAAACAGAATGATCAAGCACACTGTAATCATCAAGCTTAGTTATTAACGGACCTCATTGATTGGCTGCTGAACCCAGAGCTGAACTTTATCCACTGAACGTGCTGAGTACTCTGACAGCATTTTAAAACGATTGCTTTTTTTTAATAACATAATGTGAAACCTGATGGTTCACAAGGACGTTTTCCTTTTTTATCCCAATCTTAAAGTTAATGGGCTCATCTGTGTTATGCTCAGTTACAATATGTGGTTTAAACAATTGTTTATATGACATCTCTTTTTTTGGTTTTGAAGAAAAACAACAAACCAGGTGTCAGAGAAGTAGAAAAAGAAACGTAGTAAGAAAATAAAAGTCATGCAAAGACACCAAATTGTCTCAGATTCTCTCTCCTCTGAAAGCGTCGCTGCGCAGCAAAAAAACTCTACCTTTGCTGTTCCCATCAGGACCTCTGAGGATGGTGCACTCCTCAATGCTACCGAAGGACTCAAAGAGGCGTCGCACGTCATCTTCTGACTGCTGCTTGTTAAGCATGCCCACAAAGAGCTTTCTGTCTTCTAAAAAGAAGGGAAAGAAGGTCATGATCAGAGGATCAGATGTGCCTTTAGAGGAAAGCTCTAGGAATACATTCAAAAAGAATCAAAGAGAGGTTTATCTATGAGCCTAGAATGGACCGGCTTTGATACCAGAGGAAATGCAATAAATGATGCAGTAAATACAAAACATAATCTTTAAACCACTGCAGCATCGAAGATAAAGTAGTCCTTCCACCGTGGTCACACTTTAAATCTTATTTTTGCCTTCTATAAACGTATTCTTTGTGGATCTGAATATGATATAATCACGTACTTTTTGTGAAACACTAAACGCTGTTAGATCAATGTGTATCACTTACGTTTAATCTCTAATCAGAGTAGTGCTTATGTATTGGGATAAACAGTTTAAAATTCACAGCACTATAATGCATCGGAACAGAACTTGACATTACTGTCTGAGTTTGTCAATCTTTTTCATATTTGATAATTGTTTGACCACTTAGGGGTGAACCCCCCCCCCCCCCCCCCCTTTACATAGTTATTGCATGTTCCCAAGTTGTTAAATAGTTATTTGCTGAAACAGTCATATAGTGGGTTGAGCTGTCATCAGTTGGAGCATCCTGAAGTGACTAACTCTTCACCGGCACAGGCAGAGTGTCTGTATAGCATTTCATGAGTAAAGTAAAGTTATTAATGAGTCAATTCATTGACTTTATTGATCACACAGTGGAGAAATTTACTTGTTAAATCGGTTGAATAGTCAAAAAGAAGAAGAAGGGGCCAACAGTAGGAGAAGGTGCATGGAGTATATACAGTGCGTCCACATAGACAGCTGAATGTCATATAAATATGTATGTTCTTTAGCAGTTGAGCATATTTGGCATCTCTAAATTGTAAATGCTGCAAAACCTTTCAATACAATAATAGAGGAACTACAATCATGTTCGATTGGCAGGCTAAGACTGACCTTAGAAAGGGCTTGCACAGAGCAATATTTTATCCAGAATGTATCAAAAATCTTTTGTTTTTCACTTTTAATGAACAGATACAACATTTTTTATATTGAAAATGTTTTATTCACTTGAAGTGGTTTCATGAGTTGGATATTTGTGCAGATACCCAGCCTGCAATTATAAAAAAAAAAACATTGATGCAATGGCTCCACCATTATTAATGTAATGTCTATTAATGCAACCTGCAACTCCAAGCATGTTAATGTTATCCAAAGTCAGCTTTAAATGCATTCTTTCCTTCTTTAAGTTTAGCTGTTTTTCAGTGCTCTATTGCTCCAAACTCAGGTTAGAAATGCACAAGTGGGATGGGGACATTGCATTGTACTGGTGCTGATGCTACCATTTTACTTTTTGAAGTGCTTGTGCCACTCTCTTATAGTAGTTAACAAATGAACAATGAAAGTACTCTAAATGTGTTGTGCCCCAATGCGTTTTAAAAGGAAATCTGCTGGTAACTTGCAGCTGTTTTTTTTTCTTTCTTGGCAACACTTTTTAGCAGAGTGTCTAATCCCTTGAAGCATAAAGAAAAAAAAACATTATTGGCTAAAAATTCACTTCCATTCAGCAACACTATGTCTAAAAAGGCTGGTATGATAGACCTCATCAGAGTTAATAAATACTGCATTTATTCAATTAGTTCTGGACTTCATCTACAGCACCTTGCTTTGTACCATCTGGACTGGTAATAATGCCACAGCATAAACAGGCTGTGCAAAGCTTCCCTCTGTTCACTGCTGGCCGTGCTTTAATGTTGTAGGTCATTAAAAAAAAATACTTTTTTACTTTGAAAGGTGTTGGGATCCTGGTAGTTTTTCCATTTTTTTTTTGCAATTTATGAGATAAATAAAACAATGACAACAGAAATTTTTAAAGAAGGGAAAAAAGAGGTTATTTCCCAAGTTTAGATGGTGTTTATTAAACTTTATGATTTGAGGGATAATTTCCTGTCTGCAACATGCAGGGAAAAATATTATCAGAGGTTATATGGAACCTTTAAGAAAAAGGAGAAAGAAACTAAAATAAGACATCTTTGGTCCGAACCTGTCACACGCATTTGAAATTTTTTTTCTTCGAATCAGAGGATCCTACTTCCTGTAGATAAGGAATTGCACCTGTCGTAGGTGTCAGGCAGGAAAAAAGACAGATGCGTTGGTGTTCCTGTCCTCAGGGCTCAAATCTAGCTGCAGTCTAAGTTCAGCTCTGCCGTATCTTACTTTGTGCAGAAATCACAAGTTTGCTGCCATCAATTTAATTGCCGATCAAAAAAATATAAGCTATTGTTTGAGCACTGAGAGCAGATTTTCAACACCTTAATCCAAGATTAAGTGAGATATTTCAAACACTTTGTTCTGTTAATTGTAATGATAATAACCAACAGCTAATCCAAAAGAAAAAAAAAAGCCTTTATCAAAGAAATGGGTTAATTTACGGCCTATATAAAAATGGGGAAGACAGATATGACACCCTCTGGTCATTTCTTAAGAACCTGACCGTTCACAGTTCTTTATCAAAGCATATTAACAGAAAATTAAATGTAAGGAAGAGGAAAAAAACAGTTTTAGAAAGTCATATAAATGCATTACCACAAAGTACTGTGTTTGGAAGGTTATGGCCAAAAACCTTCCAGAAGATTAGGTTCTCAGAATATGAGATTAAGTAAACAACATAATATGACTTTCAATAATTGTATTCAAAATCAAGGGGACTGCTGATCTGATAGTTGTTCAGCACTTCAGTTAATTATGCTTCCTATAAGTAAGCCACAAAAGAATACTTACAGATATTGGCTGCTGGTAGATTATAATTAAAAAATGCAGCAGAAGGAAAATCTGTGATTAAAATACAAGAGCAAGCCTAAATGATTGTGAATGTTAGGGAAGATCCACATTGTGTGGAAGGCAGCTGGAGTGGTATCTTCAAAAAACTTTCCAGACATGGGTTTGACTGCCACTTTCTTTATGTTAGACCAGCCAGCTACCATAGACAATGTCAGAAGAGTGAGAAAATCTGGAAATCAAGGAGCCAGACTCTGGAGGAAGAGTGGAGAAGTACATAATCCAAGCTGCTAAAGCTGTCTTTCCACTGTCAGTTACGGGCTGTGTCTTCTACTGGTGTTTGCCAACTGGGATTTTTCAAGTCCAGTCAGCTCAGCTTCATGCTTCTTCCTGCTCATAAGCTTAATTTAGAAGTTCATTTAATTTGTCATCAGACCATGACACCTGCTCAACCTCCCAAAAGTACCAATACCTGCTTTAAAAACTATAGTATCACTGTGCAAAACTGGGCAGCAGTGTGGTTGACCAGATGGTCTATTAAGTATTTTCAAAAAGGAGATAAGAGACCAGAGTCATTACTGTACCGTTGAATTCCTCAAGACTTCAGCAGCACCAGCGGATCCCCTCAATACAATTAGGTTATCATGCAAAAGGAACAAATGCATTAACTCTACATAAGATTGGCGTACTTATCAGTTAAAAGTCTTTTTTTTTAAATTTGGTGTCAAAATCAGCTGTAATCATCAACATTTCAAACAGCAGTTTGAAAAACATCACTGTACATATATTTTTTTTCAAAGGAGATGATGATGTAATAATATTTTGAACTCAGCAATTAATTATTTTAATAACATTTAAAGTTATCGAGATGCACCTGTAATCTTGCACAGGTTGAATCAATCATTCTTGGGTTTTATGGATGCCGTTTTGGGATTGTGTAGTCGAGTCACTGAGTTTAAAGGAAAAAAGCGGCCAGCTGAAGCATGTGTGTTGAAATGTGCGGCTGTTTCCTTTTCTTACATTCCATAAACTCTCAGGTTTTGTGGCAATGGATGTATATGTTTGGAAATTAATGAGCCTCACAGTAATTGCCTGTAAACACAGTGTGAAAATGAACGCGCGTGCAGATGTGGATCTCTGTGGGCGTCTGTGATGTGAGCGTGCTTGGGCGCGCGTTGCGCTGAGGGTTCGTTTCCACCTCTGTCTGTGCTTAACAGGGTGTCCTTGCCGAGTCAACAAGACTAATCTGCGCTCTGGCCTTGCACCGGGTGGGGGGGCTGGTGGGATGAGTGTTTACAAGAATTCTCTGCACATCAGAGTTGTAGAGCACACGCCAACGCAGACGGGCACACATATCTTGAAAGGTCCGACTCCTCCGCTTTTTGGAAAGATTGAGGGACATGTTGAATTTGATGTAATCTCATTGATTAAAACATATAATCACATACTAATCAATGCATCCTCTTGCTATACTGAGACTGAATGGGTTAAACAAAGTTTTACTACCGTACAGAAAAAGGTTTCTTATTTTAGTGTGTTTACCAGAAATACCTTTTTAATCAGATAACCGTCAGCCTCAAGGTTCCTTTTAATCACAAACTCTGTGCTTTTTCCCAATTTACAGTAGCTTTATTTCCCAGTTTAGATTTGCAACATCTTACCTTCAAAAAACAACTTTCATTGCATCATCTAATTTTTCCAACTAAATTAAAACATAAAAAAACACAAATATTACATAAACCTTCTGGTTCCTTTGCCTTATTTCATATTAATTTATATTAGTTCTGATGGATACTTCAGTTGGGTCTGATAAAGGTTCTGCAGCTATTAGATACTATAAAAAGAGTTCCAGCAATTCTCTCCAGTTCTTCGATAACCCACAAACCTGCAGATTTTTTCTACATCACAATTAATATTTGATATCAGCCATCCAGCTTCAGGGATAATTCTGGCCAAATGTTTGATCTTCTCTCCAATCAGAATGTTTTCAGCTATTTTTAACTGGCTGGTTTTCTTGCTTTACAGCAGTGGTCTCAAACTCCTATCCTTGAAGGTCAGTGTCCTTCAACTTGAAGATGTGTCCCTCGTCCTTCACACCTGAATCTAATGGCTTAACTGCCTCACTTGGATGCAGTCAAGCTCTGGGGAGCTCTGCTGATGAGCTAATATTTGAGTCAGGAGTGTTGAAGCAGAAACACATCTCAAAGATGCAGGACATTGGCCCTAAAGGACTGAAGTTTGAGACCACTGCTTTAATCGTTATTATTTTTTTTATTGAGGTCGGAGCCATTCCTGAAACTTAATATGTTCCAAAAATTAGTTTGGATATTCATTTGAGATCATGGTCGAGCTACAGCATTTTAATCATATAGCTGTTAATATGTGGCACGGTTGAACAATTTAGAGGTTGTTCTTTATCTTCATTATTTCACACACCTTTATGCCATTCTTTGATATAACTGGTAGAGAAACATATTCTCAGCATGAAGCTACCAACCCTCTTTTCACTGTTTGGTCCTCATAACCTCACATAGACTCCTCCAAGTATTCCTCTTGTTAATGTAACCAAATTTGTTTATTCTCACCATAAAACTTCTTCTAAATAGGTGTTCGTTTTTTCTCTGTGGGCATTTGACATTGAACCTGTTCAGTTTGTTAATAGACTGATCTATTCTGGGTCAAGGGCTGGTTATACTTCCCGCAGCAGTGTGTCGCAGATATATTTGTTTTATGCCCAATATTGAAGCGTGGTCTGCGCTATGTTATTCTATGCCTCAACGCAAGAGGGACAATCAGGAAATAGCTTTGGGTCTAGATACGGCCGAGGAGGTGAGGAAGTGGGGGCAAGTTTGTCCAACAACGGAGGGCGAAAAAGAGCGGGGATCCAGGTGGAAAAAGGGTCCCAGCATTCTCGCGTATCTCGCTCTTCTTGCTTGTCCAACTTCACGAGTTGTTTTCCATAATGGCGGTCAAACAAAACAAGCTGGTAAGGTACCAAACAGGAAATATGCATACTGTAAAGTGGATGTAGATTTCACCAATCAGGTGCCTCCTATCTGCGGCAGGGGCGGTGGCACATTTGCATTCACTGCGACACACACACAAACAGACAACCTTGTTTGTGAGTATAAATCAGCCTTAAGACTTTAATATTTGAAGCATCTACTCAGTGGTTTACTTTAGAAGGTTAAAGTCTGAACACAACTGAGTTTTTACAACCTGATAAGAATGCAAACACACCCCTGTAGCCTTGACCTCAGCCCGACTGATGAGCTTTACATGTTTAAAAACTGTGCCAGTGTCAGGAAACGATACCACCCTATACCAGTTCTTAAAGGAAGTGCTCAAATATTTAGTCTGAATAAAGCCAGGGTTGTAGTCATGTTGCAACCTCATTAACAACAGCTTGTATGTGAAATTATTCATTTTTAAACCTTGGTTATAAATTTTGAATCAACATTATTATTTTGGGGGATTGAATGAAGCTGCATCATCTGGTTCATTAACTGGTTCAAATGCATGATTAGAATATGCAAATACAGCTTTTTATGAAAAGGAGGATGTGGGTTTTAGATGTGATGGGGACTGTTTTTCTCAATATACATTTTTGATGAAGGTAAGACCTATACAGAGTGTGACTCTGGTTGTATTAAGCTCCAGTTTGAGTAAAATTCAGCCTGTGTTTAGGACATTGAAGGAAAACATAATTCCCTGAGCATCCTTTTGGATAGGACAGTAAACAAAAACCTATTTAAGCAGAAATCCTTATGTCAACTTTATGTGGCTCAATGCAAACAAAGCTTTTCATTCTGTTATGTGGCAATGAACCTGCCAGTCTCTAGTGCTCACTTTAATCTTCATAGATTTACACATCCATAAGACTGTTCCTTCTCTGAATGACGCTCTGTACCGGGTTTTCACATTCCTATTCAATATTATCATTACATACAATAAGAGATAAGTAAAAAAAAAAATGCACTACCTGTTCTGAAAAAGTAGAAACATCTGAAATTATAAGGGTGGATCAGGCCAAGTGGAGATGATGGAAAAGTCGAATTAATTTTCATTCATTCTTTAGACTTTAGACTCTAAAAATTCAGATGATGATATTTTTTTTTAAGTTAAAATGATTACAATGTGCTTGCCGTTTGCCCAACTGCAACAACCAATTGGAATAGATGTATTCCATACTGTATATCTTAGTAGTACCGATTATACTCAATATTTAGTTTTTCTGAACATTTTTTGACAGGATTCGACCAGGTTTTAAGGTGAAGAAGGAACACAAATCTGGGAATGCAAGAACTGGGGCAGCACATGACAAACCTGAGAAACCAAAAGATGAATTAAATTATTAACTGATTGTAAGATCTCTTTTCTTGTCTTGGGCTGTCCAGGGACTCCAGAAGCAAATGATCTAAAACTTAGAATCATGTACAGGGAAACAAATGGTATGTTTAATTTCTAGTTTCTCCTTTTTAACAAATAAATGAATAAATAAATAAAACAAATATTTAAAGTCAAATTGAAATCACCTATTAGGCACTCAGAGGGTCCGAATTTTCAAAGAACTAACTTAGTACTACTGCTACTAGTACTAATGCTACTAATAATTAAATATTTATCATCATTTATGTTGACTTGTTTTTAGTTTTCTATGATTAATCCAATCTGTCTCATCTTACACTATCTCATCTTGAGGTATAAGAGGAATAAAAGAACATGCCAGACTTACTTATATTTATATAAAACCATAATTTCCTTCTAGTTCACAATCATGCTGTACAGTAAGTTTCCTTGGCCTTTCACCTTAAATGTAGATGATTTCCATGATTCTGTCACACAATGAGAAAATGTTCAGTACGTGCGAGCAGTTCTGCCAGGTACTCTTTTTCCTTGTTCTTTCCACTCAGTGAAACGTTATGCCCTTGTGGAGCAGCGTTTAGCTTTGAAACTTTGCAGCGTGGAGAACAGATGAGAGACGTGAGGGAAGGACATCCGTAAAGAAACAGATAGACCTCCCGTACAGACGCGTGTGCATGTCTTCCGCTGCTGGCTCTTTGTTTCCTCCCGCTCGCTGCTTGCTTCACTTTTCTCCCGCTCCATCAATCACCCCCCCTCCCCCGCCCTCCCTGACAGCCGGCAGACTAAATAGAAGAGGATGTTGCACGGCCTCTCTTTCTTTCTTTAAAGGTTATTTTCTTTACAGGGTAACACCTCTCTCTCCCTAGGCTTCTGCTGCTCATCAACCTTTAGCTGCTTCCATGTTCCAATGCTATTTCTCTCCCTCTTACTTGTGGATAGAAAATCACTTTGTTGCCAATTATATTAACCACTTGAAGGTCTGAAATGCTCTGGACAAAAAGATGGCTTCAGCCTTATCTTGTGCAGCCCTGTGATTGATGTCAAGAGCAGGTCGCCAACCGTCTAGACATAAAAAAATTCCTTTAAGCCATCTCAATAAAGTACCTTGTAGATATATATATATATATATATATATATATATATATATATATATATATATATATATATATATATATACTACAATGACATCTTTCCTGCAGGACTTTTCTTTCAATCTGCCCTTTGCTGGACAAATGCAAACATACATGTTTACCTACAAATCATGTACGGTTTGCTTTGTTGGAAACAGATTTTTACAGGTGTTAAAACAAAAGGAAAGAATGTTATTTTCTTCCTTAACGAGGGGTGTGCTTTTCTCTTCATGCACGCCTGCATATGATGATAGACAGGAGCTGTAGGCTGAGCTGGCTAGGGAGAGAGCTCTGTTTACATAATGCCTTTTGAGCACCGGAGGGTCCAGGCCAGGCTGCTATGTCAGCTTGCGTCGAGGCACTTGCCGTTGTCTTAACGGGACAGATAATGGTGAAGCTGATGTATGCAGGCAGCATGGTTGGAATATTAGAAACGGAGGGTGGAAGAAAAATAAAGAAGAAAAGAAGGGCGTACGCTACCTCCTCGACTCTCACTGTCTGCTGGCTTCACCTGGATTGGTCTGTTCATCTGTGACAGTTTGAGAAAAAATTAGCGAGAGAAAAAACAGAAGAAGGAAGGTAGGAGGGGAGGAGGGAAGGAAGGAAGGAAGGAAGGAAGAGAAAAAGAGAGCAGTTAGCATCATGTAATGTTGCATGCTTTTACGTTCCTCTGAAAAAAAAAAATCTTTTGAAGAATGACTCAACCAAATCACGGTTTAAGTGTATTGAAAATCTCCAAAGCTGCAGCACTTATAGCCAGTGGGGGAATATGGGCTGTAAATATCATTTGATCTGAGATGAAAGGGGGAGAGAAGGTTGGACAGAAGGGATCAGCAGAGGGAGGACAGGAATGGTAGAGGGAGGATGGTGGAGAGTTAACCGTTGGTTGGCAGAGCTATATGAGCCATAATTTAGTGTGGATTATCTGATTTGAATATCAATGGTAAATGACACACACAGAGCAAAATTAATAAAAACACACTTTTGTTGAAATGCAGCTCTTTTTAAGAATGTCTCTGTCAGTTTTGCAGATCTAGAGACTCTCTTTCATTCACAAAAAAGTCAAGCTCAGTGAAACCGTATTACCATTTTTTTGGTCTAACCAGATATTGGATGTACTGTAGGTCATTTGTTGACATGGCCATTCAAAATTTGCAAACATATCTAGCAAACACTTCTTCTTCTAAGAATCTCTTTTGTCTAGCTCCATTCAACCAAACCCCTTTTTTTCTGATTTGATTTATAAGAACTTTGAAAACATCTAGTTTTCCTTCTACTTTCAGTACTAGGTGCTCCTTTGTTTTAGCAAATAAAACTAAATCCAAAGAGAATAAACGTGGAAATATGTGGAAAAAGTTCAAGAGTTATGAGGAAGCCACTGCAGTATAACCTCCTCGTGTATTAGTTCTCAAACTGCAGGTTCTCACTACAAAATGTCCTGGCCAATCTTCCTTTAGCACTTATACACACACATCTACACACTCTCTGTCCCCCACTGAGACCTTTCCACACTATGTCCGCCGAGGCGCTCCTTTCATTTCACTCCTGCCTGTCAAAATTTCCCTCTCCGCCTCGCCACCCTGCTAAACGCTCTCCGCCAATCAATTTTTAATAATGCCAATCGCCACGCTGCCAGGAGGGATGGAGGAAGAGGAGGAGGAGGACGAGAGCATAGGAGAGGAGCGGATTGTGAAACGAGGGATGAAAGGTAAAAGTAAAATGTTTTGCTTTTTCTATTTTTTTATTGTGGCTGAGATGCAGAATTTTCTTTTTTTTCCCCTTCAAAATGTTAATATATTTCCTTTGAGTTTATGATAAACTAATCATCTTTTATGACTTGGCAAGATCTTTCCAAAGGTAAAACCCTTCCAGCATGGGGCTACATTTTTTAGCCCGGACCTTCACCCTTCTGCTGCAGTTCATATCAATGCTTGCTTTAAACAGTTACCCATTCCCCCCACCTCCTCCCTCTCTTTGACGGCCAAGAGAACCCTACTAATGTTTTTAATGTGCAGTAATGCATTATTTATCAGACTGGCTGTTGATATGGAAAAAAGGACGAGTGGGGATAAGGAAAGCAGACAGGGAGTTTTAAGAAGAGTAAAAAGTGAGAGAGTGCGAATAAAAGAAGTCAACAGAGGGAAATTGTGGGGATAAAAGACAAACTGAAAACACATTAAAAAAGGGAAGGTAGTGATGGATTGTGTGTGAGGCAGGTGTTTGAGGAGAGGGAAGTGTGGTGTTAAAGAAGGAGGAGAAGACAGAAGGAGGAATGAGGAAAAGGGGGCATGGGGGAGATGAGGACATAGATCAGACTACGGTACAAGGTCAGCCCAATGCTCCCAGGGGGCCTATAAGCCTGCATACATATGAGCACTTTTACCATGACCCATACAAATGGTATGCCCTCAATCTGACCTACTTGTGTTTCTCCACTGTTCGTTTGAATATTTTTTTTTTTTTTTCATTTTGCGCAAGTGCAAATTTTGGCTTGCAGCCTATGACCAAGTTTGCTAATTTTACAGAGGGAGAATGCACTAAAATAAAAGAATATAAAGTTCTGGTTTTATTAAAACCATAAGTCTTCATTCCCAGCGTGCAGTGATTATAGATAGGTCGGTGAATCCTTTAATTCGTCACTGCTAGTTGAGCAGCATAGTGCAAAATTTCCGCTAATAAAATTTTAAATACCGCTCAGAACTTGGCGATGTGGTTAAACCATTATTTTCTTTTGTCACCAAAGCCCGAGTGGTGTTTCATGGGCTCTCTATCAGTGAATTTCCATTATCCCTAGGCCCATAACTGCTTCAAGGTCAGTTTTATCATCCCACTCATAATGGGGTAAGTTAGCACCAGCCCAGTGGACGGCTGATCCCAAAACAGTTGTTAAAGGCCGACGCTGACTGGTCACGATGGGTCCCTCGAGGAGATCTGCAATGACGGTTGCCAAAGCCAGATGGCAGGGTTGAGGCAGAGAAGCTGTCTACAGTCTGATGCCAGTTGTGCAGAAAATTACCATTTACAATAAAGGCACTAGGGTGCATACATTTATACCCATGTATGCAAAGTGTTGGACTTACAGACATGCACAACTGGGTTAGCTTACATAAGCAAACACCTTAGTTTCTTCTCTTTAGACTTGTGTTATCCATAAAAAAACAGCTTAAGAAATAAAGTAAACTAACAAAGCGTGCATGGGAGCAGTGATCTGATACTAATCGGTATTAATTGAGGACAGGTAGACGGTCGGTTATTGCTCTACAGCAGTTTTTTTGTTACATTTCCTGCAAACTGAACATTTAAATATGAACATTAACATTTGTTCCAGACTACCTGCTCACTTCTTTATTGTCTTGTGACATCCCTTTGTGGTGTGTCACTCTAGGTAGAAAGTCACATTGTCCTTATAAAAAAAAGCTTCTTCATGAATGACCACATCCAGATACAGATATGCAACCAAACAAACCAAACAATACATAGTTAAATTGAGCCTTCTGATTTAAAGTTAGCACTGCCTCAATTGACATATTTTGCAGTAGGAGCCACCTTACTTAGAACTTCCCTCTTTCACCTCGTCCTTGTTATTGCCTCCTCTCTTCACTCAGAAATACCAGTGAAATCGCACATGGGTGTATTCGCTCCATAGCTCCTAAAAGTCTAACCTAAGCAATCTTGCATTAGAGTGGCTTTGGCTTGGCATGCAAGAAGAGCTGCGGCTCCATGAATGCATGAGACATGCACACACACCCGCGCACATCCTCTCCTCTGTTGATTATGTAAGTCAATGACAGCCCTCCGCCATAGATTCCCTGTTAACTAGAAATGTTGGGAATACATGGTGTGCATGCAGACTGTGCTGTGCAAAAACTGGTGAGTCACTCTTCTGATTCAGCCAGGCTCGGCCGGAGAGTCTAGCAAGGCCCCACAAGACAAGCTCTACAGTTTGCCTTATTAGATTTAACCCCAATACGGGGAAAAAATGCAGCCTTTGATCTGAGTTTTGTTGCTTATTGTATTGATTTCACTGCATGAAAGCTGCAAAAATTAAGTTACAAAAACACTGTTAAGATGACAACTCTATGGGATTTCAACCAGCTGGATTTCTGTACCCTGCCCTGTTATGTTCAATATGCCTCAATATGCACTTTATTACAAGTCATTTGAAGCAGTCCTAGTAACCACAAGCCTCTCACACACACAAAATACTGGATGCACGTTCGGGCCGAGCAGCACAAAAATGCTCACAAGGACACAGAAGTCCGCACTCACTCAAACTGCCATCCTTCTCAGAGAAAGAGAATATTGAAAGTATGCTTTACGAAACTCGAGAGAGGAGGCAGGATTTTCTCATTTTCACCCTCGTCTCGCAGATGTGTTTTTGAGAGAGAGAGCAGAGCGGTGCAGGCCAGGTCATTTCATTATCACAGTGAGAAAGCACTCCATGAAACTCTCACAGGGCGGCAAGGAAGGCTGCTCATAATATTCCACCTCTACCATTGTCAAAACTCTCTGTTTTACATTCTGCAGCTTAAAGCCTTTTTAAAAAACATGCCAACTGCCTTAATGTTATTCCATCCAATTTGAATGTTGATTTTTTCCCCCCCTTTTCTGCGGCCTCTTTTCATACATATTTTCACAGTGCTGCCTTTAAAAGAGAGCATTTGAAACACGGCTCTGAAAACACTGGAATTCTCTGCAGAGGAAGAACGCCAGGCTTACGTATAACAAAATGCCAGCATTTGCGTCGAACGAACCACTGGCACTGAACCCAGAGCTGCTTTCCAAACCATCTCAGCATGCAAAACACTCATTTTGGGATGGAGACATGCCAACAGAAACATTAGCTGAACAAGAATACGGTTATAACCCTGTGAGATCCTTTTGGAGAGCTTGGGTCCAGTATGAAGTGGAAAGAAAATCTTTAGCTAAAAGATTATCTGGCAGACTAAAAATATTTAGTAGGTGTGAAACAGACTTGACCACTAAGAGAACAGAATAGTTTTAAAGCATTGATTTAACAATAATTCACAGCTGAGAATCTTCTACATGTCCATTAAAGCTCCTAAAGTACATGCACATTTTTCTTCTTTAGCTATAGAAGCATTTTACACTAAAGAGACTCCCTTTATACTGCTAAAACATGAGCAGGAGATTGGTACTAGAGTCAGAGGAGACATTTTTAGTTAGAAAAAAAAATAAAATTATTCATAATGTTCAATTTGTGTCATAAAGTATAGATATAATGTAAATGACAAACGTAAAGTAATATTGTTTTATTTAACCAGGGAAAAATTCCCGTTGAGATTAAAAACCTCTTTTTCAAGGGAGTCCTGGCCAAGAGGCAGCAAAGTAACATAATAAACAGAGATACATTAAATTAAATGACAGCAACAGCTGATCGTTGGATCTCAGGGCAGAAGAAGCCATGCTTTTCTGTGTAAGTAAGGTACAAATGTTAGAGGGCAGTAATCCAAGAAGGGCCTTGTAAATAAAATGCTTTAAAATTAGAACAACACAAAATAATATGTT